AACTAGCAATTTTATTTCTGGATGCAGTTTTTGTGCATTTTGAGACGTTTTTCAGGCGATGTTTCGTTAGAAAACTACGATGTAGTTCAAAACTAATATCAGATTCGGAATCAGCGTTAAAGATTGAACCGATTTATATATGTTGTGAATAATTCTGAGAAAAATTTGTTTTTTGAAAAAAAATCCCTGTACCCCCCCAGGGATGGTCTGGTCAATAATGACAATTTTTTCGATAACTCAACCATTTCTTGGCGGATTCTTCTCATCTTCGAACTCGACTGAGACATTGATGAGGCTGACCTGTGGAGAAAATTCTATCATGATCTAACTCTCCTTTCGAAAGATATCGTGTAAACGGACGGACACACTGACCGATTTTAGAGTGTACTCACTTTTTGAGTACACAAAAATTATTGATTAAATTGACCGAGATGTTTAAAGCGAGATAGAAAAACACCATCTTTTGTTTTTATTTCGTAACAATCTCTATATATCAGAGGGCGATGAAACGTTTCAAAATCATGTGAGGTCCACGAAGAAACATCCCGATCTGTTTAATCCGTTTTAGGCGAAATATATGCTCAAACGATAGACGTCATTGGGTTATTATACATCTGAGAATAGTCCAGTTTTCCAGAGCTGCTAATCAGAGATATACACTCATTACCGTTGGTAGTGTTTAAGTGTTCTACTGCACCATTGTCTTTAATAACTTAACTAAACATGTTCTAATCGGGCTCAGTTTTATTTATATCATTGGTTTGAGGATAAATCGACGTTTCCCAGGTTGAGACCAACGGGACGTGAACGCGTTAAGATTCCAGTCGTTTCGGCCTGGGTTTCTATTAAAGATATGAATTTATTTAACATAATAAGTGATTAATAAAAAAACATGTGCTGGTGCTTTTAAAGATAGGCAAACATCGATTCATCTAGATGGTTCGGTTGGTACGAATAATACGAATGAATTCACGTACTTTGCATCATATGATCTACTTTCAGTAACATGTTTATAAATTACATTAGAAGAAGCAAAAGACAAAGAAGGGTGTAGATGTGGGCAGGGGTGTAAGTCAGCACTGGAGATACGGGAGGGCGTATCATAGGCCAGCACTAGAATTAGGGGGGTTATATACACAAACTTTATAAGCAAGGGGTGCTGCCATAAAGAATTTTAGAGGCAGGGGTTGCTCCCCCCCCCTATTTACGCTCCTCACTTTAAAAAAAATTCGTAGAATACTATACCCGAAAAGGGTTGATGAAAGTGCAACGTATAATAAACCCTTTTTCCGTTTTTGGAAATTTTCATAAACTCTAAAGGGTATTTTTCCATAATCATAAACCCTCAAAGGGTTTATGAAAATTTCCAAAAACGGAAAAGGGTTTATTATACGTTGCACTTTCATCAACCCTTTTTGGGTTTAGTATTCTACCAATTTTTTTTAGTGTTGGGTGTGGGTATCACTTCCTCACGTGGCCTCGACACACAGGTTTTGTTTTGTTCGAAAAAATTAACGTTTTTAATTGTGAATAAGAATAAGTATTGTTATAGCTGATTTATTATTCCATTGGAATTAGAGAAGAACTATACGTAGTGAATGTATTCTCTTTTTCGTATTACACTTGATTGGATAGACATTTAACAACAAATTATAGTGTTTAACTGGTTAAAGTCAAATATAAATGATTATTGCAAAATGAATTGTCTTTTTTCTTTTTATAAAAGTATACATAACATTTGTAATGTGTTTGTTCGATGATATTTCAATTATCCATTGCTTCGACATGATGTCTTAAAAAGTTTTTTTCTCTTGAAATGATTTGTTCTAATTTAAACATAAACTTCATATATCTAAAACATGTCATTATAAGAGAACATTCTAACCGACAATATTTGTTTCTCTTCAAACAAATTCTATCGATGCGATTTTGCAAATTTTATAACTATGCATTTCTAATGGTTATATTCGAATATATCCTCTTAAAAATTGGCAGTAAAAAAAGGAGCATAAATTAATTGCTTAATTTTCTAACGTTTTTGACTGAATTATTGACAATTGTCTTACTTACTATGGCGATTTATTTTACTAATAAAATCATTTCTCAATGAAAAATGCTTAATCAAGATGTTCACAATACTTTGATTGAAAAGAATATGTGTATACCCTGTTCTGCAACAGCTATGCATATGCCATAAGTAAATATATCCGATTTTGAAAGAGCATATTTGAAAACAAATACATAGTGCGTTGAAAAAGTTCCTGGACTGATTTGATTACACAACAATGAAGAGCGTTACTGTCTCTATATTTAGTCTGCATGTAACTATAACAGTACACTGTTAAATAGAAAATAACTTATGGAGAAAGAACAAGGATATTCAAGGAATGCCCATATGACTTCTCACACGAATTTTTAAATCCTCGAAAATGCGGTTTTCAAGAAGAAAGAAATAAGAAATTCGATTTTCTAATAAGAAATTCGATTTTCTAATCAGAAAATCGAAAGGGAATTCATGTAGGCATTCCTAGAAATTCGCTTACGATATAGTGATTGGAATCTGTTTAGAAATTTGAAAGTCAAGTTATATTGTCATTTTAAAATAGCAGCTTCTACGATTTATTCTATAAATATTACTTAAATACATAATAAGCAAAAATGAAGTTCATAATTACATAAAAGTGAAACAAAATTTTCAAAAGTTAACAATAAAAAAATAAATATTTCTAGATACCAGGATAAGCATAAATTATAGATTTCAAGACCTGTGACATTGAAAATAGGAAAAGTGCGAACTGATAATTCGGTTCAATATTTAATTTATATTCATTGAAAAATCTCTCCTCAGCCACTGACAAGAAAATATTATACGAAATCGATCGAGCGCTAAACTATGAGAAAAGATGGTGATAGGCTAAAAATAAAAACAAATAAATAACTAATATTGAAACAGTTACTCGCCGTCTGACGTAATCTCGCTTACTTTTTAAAACTTGAAAAGAATTTTTAAGTATTGTCTCTTCTTTGTGATCGCGCATAGTCTGAGTTAAGATGTGGCTATTTTTGCATAGAAAAAAAGAATTTTATATTGCAGCAATAATCCAATTTGTTCTAAGGGTCATAAGTAATCAGTAAGACAATTAATGTAGCGTAGTGAACGAATTTTCTCTAACTCTAATAAATTAATAAAAATAAAATAAAATTTAATCGCTTTACAAATCTATTAGACTGAGGAAATAATGGATGATTGTGAACAGTGGGGACTGATCATATAATTTAATTTAAAAAAATGCGAGAGATACACAAATAACGGTAAACATTTAAAATTTTCCTGATTCGTCATTGACTTTCTCCTTTTTTGAAAATGTATATTTTAAGAAAATCAAATTGAAATTTTGCCATTTTGAAAATCAAAGAATTTCAAGATGCACTGAATTCGACAAATACATCATATAACGTTTAAAATCCTTCAGCTTTCACAAAGTCGATTTTTCAAAAAATAGAATTTCAAAAAATTTACAGTGTAGGTCGAAGTCATTATGCATTTAATAGCGTAAGAATAGGATGAGCGCCGTGTAAAATTATGAAATAGTTGAATATCCCATGTGAAAGTTTCAGCGAAAAGCTAGCGTAGAATAGCTTGGGATTTCTCTAAAAGGCAAGTGTAACCGCACATTTTAAGCGACCTAAAAGCGCTTTGAACATCTTTAAGCGCTTAAAATACTGGCGAAAGTCCTTACAAGTGGCTTGCGATAGCTGAAAAAGTCAAATTCTAAGCGCTTATCAGCAACTTAGAACTTATCTATTGAACAGCAGCTGATAAGCGCTTACGTTTAACGAGATTTAAGCGCTTTACGGCCGCTTAAGTTCCATGTAGCTGAAAAGTACTTTAAATATTGCGATATTTAAGCGCTTATCAGCTGATGTGCATTAGATGAGTTCTAAGCAGCTGATAAGCGCTTAGAATTCGACTTTTTCAGCTATCGGAAGCCACTTGCAAGGACTTTCGCCAGTATTTTAAGCGCTTAAAGATGTTCAAAGCGCTTTTAGGTCGCTAAAAATGTGCGCTTACACTCGGTTTTTAGAGAAATTCCAAGCTATTCTAAGCTAGCTTTTTCGCTGAAACTTTCACGTGGGATCTTCAACTATTTCATAATTTTACATGGCGCTCATCCTATTCTTAGCTATTAAATGCATAATGACTTCGACCTACTGAATGCCATCTGCAATAGCACCATTTCGTTATGCGTTAAATACCAAAACTCGCCATACTTAGACTACGTAGTGGCGGTGTACAGAGTTTTAGAGTAATATAACCATCGTTATTGCTTGCGCGCCTTTTCTCTATACTATAGAAATTTACCCAATAATCGTTGACTTTGTTCTCTCCTTCTCACTCACCATTGCTAGAGCGAAGAGAAAGTTGAGAAAATCTCGATTTAAACCGACAAACGTGTATATTTTCTTCGAAAGCGTACAGAAGTTTAATAAAAACCTGCTTTTTTGCTGTAAAATGCTGAAATTAATTCTACTACTCGGTGAAAAACTGCCAAAAACTAATTAGCTGCTTCTAACCAATGAAATGTATTCGATCAAGCATGATAAGAAGCTTAGACATGTATTTCTTAGGTGTTTCATTCCATGTGACTCCGAGTGATTCCAAGTGATTCCAAATGACTTCAATGATTCTATCACTATAGAATCAGCTTTCCCCCCCCCCCTTGTTATAATGTGACATGTAAACTTTATTGTCTTTTAGACAAAGGACGAGATTGTTGTTAATGAAAAGATTTACACTCACGCCCTGAAAATTCTGAAGAAATGCTTATATTTTATTTCTTTTTCTTCAATCTTCAAATTATCTCAAGTAAACATTATTTTGCTTTTAAAATTTCCAAGAAAAACGAAAATTGCAAATGTCGATGATAACAAAACATTTTTTTATCTCAGAACAAAGCTGATCATGGACATGGTTAAACCCTTAATACAACGACAGTTAATTCCAAAGACATTATCATACAGACCATGTGCGATTATGATGGGAAGAGTAGGCGCTGGAAAAACAACATTAGCCAACTTACTTTGTGGAACACAACATGAAGTTGGTGAAGGCAAAGGAAGTTTTACACGAAGGCTCTTTCTCAACGATACTTCTTGTGGTAACAATGCATTTTCTTTAATTGATACGCCTGGTACGAATAGTTCAACAGAAACATACAAACATGCTGTTTTATTAAGAGCAGGTTTAACAGCAGCAAAAATCAATACAATATTTATTATAATAGAATATCACTGCCGTTTTGATAACATGATAGACAATTATTATGAAGTTGAACAATTCGTCTATAATTATGCCAGCAAAGTTGTTGTACTGGTTTCTCATTGGGATCAATCGAAAAATCCACAACATAATTATGAAGAAATCTGTAAACAATTTCAAAATGAATGTCCAACATTAAATAATTTAATTTTCTATTCGGAGCGAAGTTCAAAAGCAGAATTAGCTAATTTAATGTACGGATGCGTATCCAATATGGAAAAAGATAAGCTCGAAATCAAGGATGAGCAATTCTTTTTAAAATTCAACGTATATCAAATGAAAAGCAACTTGAAAGTCTCATACAATGAATATCAACGCAAAGCCATTCTACTTTCGAAAGAATACACGGAGTTCATTCTCTCGGTTCAATGCCAATCGGTTGAAGATAAAGATGAAATTATACATATGACAATAGTCTACTTTAAAGATGAGATGGAAACATTATTAAGTGAATTTCGGAAAAAGCATGGCCAAGACATGGTTGAATTAGATTATTATGTATTCATTGTAAAGTTGGAGAAAGAGAATGTTAAAATATGTGATGATTTCGTTGAAAGAGCAGTGCCATTAATGTCGTACAACTTATTTGATAATAAAGATCCAAGAAATTTGATTAAAAGATGTCCATATTGCCAATTAATTTGGTTCAAAACCGAAGGATGTGATGGCACTACAACATGTGGAAACAGCGACTTTAAGAGTAATAACATAAATAAAAAGGTTCTTGGGAAATATAAAATGCGACGTATAGGTGGGAAAATGCAATGGGAAAAAACTTCAATGGAAAACGAAAGTCCTGAACAAAAACTTGAAGAGACTCCAAAATATCAAAATGTTGCAAGTTCTAAACGAGTTGGCTGTGGAAAACAGTTTAAATGGAGTGATCTGCCAAAAATTGAAGACGATTTAATTCTGGAGTTATTCAAAGTGAAAACCATCGATCAAGCGAAACAATTGATTCAAGCGGGAAACTTCATAGAAGCTCGAAGAAATTATGAAAGTAATATTGACTGGTATTTCCATAATTGACTAGCACATTATTGTTATTGCATGAAATAAACTAGAAACTTAATATATTCAAAAATAATCTTATTGTGATGATATCTCTTAATATTGATCAATGATTTGCCTGTTCTTTTCTGATGATTATTTGCTAAGAAAGTTTACACATAATAACTTAAAATGCCGAAAATAACTTTGTAGTGATCAGAAAGATTCTCGATGGAAACGTGGCAAATACATATCTACAAGTATTTTTCCACTATTTAGTGTCAGCATTTTTGAGTGCATTTATCTAAATAATATAACACAAGAAAAAAACGAATTCGCCATACAAACTGAGTGTAGCCCTTATCACCCAAGAGTCTACAGTGTCTTTATGAAATCTAAGTAATATGCTAAGAGATGGCGATCGATCACAACTTGTAAAATTGAATAGACTATGAACAATGTTAATTATATTGTTTGACATAATTGAAATAAAAGATGAATTGAATTATTTGCTTGGATTTGTGTGCCTCTTTTTCGGATGGCTAGGAATATTTGCAATCGACACGTAGAAATGTGTTTATGTATTTTGAATTTTGAATTTTGAATTTATTCGAACGTGCACATCTTATTTTAAGTTTAAACACTTTCGAAAATATTCGAAAAAAAATGATCTCATAAGTGACATGAAAAAAATATTAATATGATAAGAGTAAGTAGTAATCGAGTGCAAAATGAAATGAGTTTTAAAATTATAAGAAAGAAAAATATTCGATTAATCTTTCATGTTTTCAATATCTGCATCGACTAGCATACGCATCACGTGTTTGCTTTGATGAAATGGCTCTAGGAGTCCTCCATGAAATGTTTTTATCATCGATGTTCATCTGACCAAATATCAATTTTTATATCAAACTTAAACAGAATCAGTTTCAAATTCTCATTTGAAAGTTTGAATTCATATGATATTTATTTAATAATGTGATTTTAACATGTGAATGTACAAGCATTTGTTTGTAATATTAAAATCAGTCCTTCCAATCTTATAAGCTCATGAATCAGTTCTAATTTTCGACTGCTTCTGAAATGCAACATTAGGCAAGAGTATGCGTGATTATGAGAAGCAGATTGCTTCATCCATGAGAAAAGCATTATTTATCATTTTGTTTAATGACGAATACTAAGTTTTGATTATACTTCTGTTGTTTCGTAAGAAACGTAAAAAATCCTTTCAATTCATACGACATTGTGACCTTCTCTTTTTTTTTATTCATTCCTTATCATTTGTATATTTTTTTCAAAAAAATCTTAATGCGTTTTGTTGCACCACAGCAACCATTACTCACAGTTATCAACATAGCATCTTTTTTAGACTTGATATAAGCCCATGTTCGCACTTCTCTTTTTCTTTTTCTTTTTATCCTTGTTAATATAAAATTGTTACCCAAAGATATCATATTCAAATAACGAATAGACAGAAACAAAATTGTTGTTACAACAAACGTGATGTCGTCAAAAAGGTATGTTGCTTTTAAACTGTGATTAATTTTAATTTTCATAGATAAGAAAAATATTTTAATTATTAACTTAGATACGAGAAAAGTCCACCAATGCAAACACCTGCTAGTTCAAAGCAAAAATATAGCTTGAAGACGCCGATAGAGGCTCTTCGACGGAAGCGATTTTGCACTGGTTAGTGAAAAACAAAAACCAAGAAAAGATTCCCAACTGTTCTAAAAACTTCACTTTTGTATATTTAGATATTCCTTGCTGTATTCTATTTCTTGTATTCGTTGCCGCTTTTGTGGTCTTAAGTGTTTTTGCCTTCAAAGAAGGTAAGCTTCTATTTTTTGAAAATTTTCTTCCATATTTCTATGAAATGAATAGGCGATCCAAGACAACTACTATATCCCACTGATAGTTTTGGTAATCTCTGCGGCACAGGCGAACATGTCGAGCGACCATATGTTTATTTTTTTGATTGGACAAAATGTATAAAGTCACTTAATGTACCTGCTAATATTTTAAGTGGTCGTCCGTTCGTTTGTCCTACAACACAAGTGTGTGTTCAAAAATGTCCAAGTAAAACATCATATTATAAATTTGAAAATTATGCTGCGAATAGAGTATGCAAATATGATGTTGATTCAAGTGAAGTTGATTATGATATACTAGTTCAAGAAGGTAGATGTGCGTCGTATGTAATTGATAGTAAACCATTGTTTGGTCGATGTGTTCCTCGACAGTTAGAAAGTTTGACTAATTCTATAATTGAGGTAAGCAATCGAAATTTATTAAAATCATAGAAAAAAATATATCCCATTGTAGGTACCGGATGGTACTGGAAATAATTCAATTGTATTTGATTCAAGTGGGCAACCGTTGAATGGCTCTAAACTCGAACTAGTTTGTATTGTTTATTAAAAAGAAAAACTATGCCGAAATAAAGTCTATCGAGTATGTTTTTCTCTAGGGCGTTAAATATCTAGTCGAATTACTTAATGTAAAACAAATAAGTGCAATGCTTGTTGAGGATTTTACAACATCATGGAAATATATTTTGATTGCATTTGCCATTGCTGCAGTTGTATCGGTATGAAAGAAAATATTGAGAAAATAAAATGGAAACTAAAAATATTTTCTAGTTTGTATGGATTGTATTAATGCGTTGGTTTGCAAAACCACTTGTTTGGCTTGGCATAATACTTTTTATCGTCTTATTAGCAGTTATAAGTGCTTTATCATTTTTGGAATTCATTGAACTTCGCAAAAAAAATGGCAATCAAATATTAACTGAGTTTAAATTTGTTACTGATGCAAATTATTATAAAAGCTTACCAATAACATGGCTAGTTATTGCCATTCTATCAACTATTCTACTTGTCATATCTATTCTTATTTTTTTCGTAATATTCAAACGTCTACGTATAGCTCTAGCTATCCTTCAAGAAGCTTCAAAAGCTGTGTCGTACAACTTTTTTAGTCTTCTTTGGCCATTTATACCATTTATATTACACATCGGAGTATTTGTTTATTGGGCAATTGTAACAGTATATTTAGCAACTGCAGGAAAACCGATCTATCGAATAGCATTGAATGACACGGAAAATGCTAACGATGCAAGATACGGTGACATATGTAATCCGAAAGAATTCGATTATCTTAATGAAGCAAATGCTGCATGTGTCTTTTGGGAATATGGATACGATCCAAAGGTTGATTTAGATAGTGTTCTTAATGGTATGATCAATTTTCTAATCATCAGGATTTTATCTTTTATTTTTATGTTAGGTACTGGTAAACATTTTAAATCTTTTATTAGTTTTGTCAATCAAAATCAATGGCTTCCTCAAGTATTCTCTGCTTTCATGTTCTTTTGGTTAACAGCTTTTGTTGTTGGTCTTAGTGAATTAGTACTCGGTAGGTTTATTTTATTTTTATGTTTGACGATGAAAACTTTTTATCAAATTTTAGCTGGTGTTTATGCGCGTTATTATTGGGATAAACAAGGACTTGGTGTTCCATGTGTATCATTGGGTCAATCGTTATTTCGTGCACTTGTATTTCATCTTGGTACACTAGCGTTCGGTTCGTTAATTATAGCCATTGTTAAATTGATACGTGCATTATTAGAATATGTTGAAAGTAAAGTTAAAGAAAAGACAGGCCGCTGTAGTCGTTGTGTATTTTGCTGTTGTCGCTGCTGTTTATTCTGTTTGGAAAAATTCTTAAAATTTCTCAATCGAAATGCTTATATACTAACAGCAATATATGGCAAAGGATTTTTTACATCAGCACGTCACGCATTTGCAATTATCATCTCGAATCCCATTCGCTTACTTGTGATCGATAAAGTATGTGATTTTCTCATATTTCTTGGTAAAATATGTATTACAGGTGGCATCGGTGTTCTTGTTTTCTTCTTTTTTACACATCGAATAGCACAAGCTGAAAATTATGTACCAGAATTACATTATTATTTCATACCATTACTTTTAATCATTATCGGCACCTATATTATTGCAACATGTTTTTTTTCGGTTTATGCAATGGCTGTTGATACGATCATGATTTGTGCGTTGGAAGATATTAATTTGACGAAAAAAAATGAAAATCATAAATTAATGATGTCAAAAGAATTGAGATCAGTATTTCGTATTAAGAAACAAAACTAAAATTTTATTTTATGTTCATATACATTCAATTTTAATAATAAAGGCCGACCATGTGAATTGTTCGTTTATGCAAAATGCCTTTTTATACGATATTTATATTTGATAAGGTGCTGTGTGTGTGTGTGTGTCAACTTCGCAAACTATACTCGAACATCTGCATAAATATTTATTTTATTTGCATTTTTGTATTGTTCACTGCTATATCTAAATAATAATGTTTATTTTGAAATTCATATCGAATTCATTTCGCACTATACAAGTCTCAGTAGTTTTCAATAAATATCGTATCTTTCAAATATTAATTAGATCCCCATCATGCGAAATGACTGACTTTTCTGTCGTAGGTACTATACATTTAAAATGCAGGAATACTGAATTTCTTTCTAAGAACTCTCATTCAACGATACAGCCACGATGAATGTTAACTCGCCAATTAGATTATGTTTAGATAGGAAAATTTCTTAGATTTATTTCTATAAAAGAATGTTTACAAAATGAACAAAATAAAAAAAAGAAATGAAAATTAGAATAGAAATATGAAATGTTCATACACCGACGTTGTTGACTTTGATAGTATACTTTTTCGAGAGCTTACTGCAATTAATACTCACTAAGAATTCCGATTGATTTTCTTATTGTTTATTTATATGTTTGTGAATGTGTCGCACCAAGAAAAAGAATTTTTTAGAAATTGTATTTAACAGTGAATACAATTCGAACTTTTAGTATTACTATTTTCTGATTTCGGTTTCGGTTTCGGTTTTTTGCCTAGAGATAAAAGAAAATTGAAATTCACTTTATATTTTCAATCATTTTTTTAACTCACTTAATCCAATGAAGTTCGATAGACAGGCTGTTTCCCATCGGTATGAATTTTTAATTTTATCTTTAATAACACACAATAAACGTGATGATGATTCATGTTGTGCTGGATGTAATGCAATAGCCAATTGTTCACTAAGACTATATATTTCTTCATCTGGTGAATCTGATTTATCCCACAAAGTTGTCATTCGAAGATCTAATCTAAATATAAATAAGCACATATTATTACAGTGAAAATTATTTTTCAATTGAATTACATGAGTTCGCCGTGATCTTTGAGACAAGTTTGAAGTGTATGAAATTCAATAGGATTAGTGGGCTTTGTATGACGTGTAAAACATTTTGGTAGAAATCCTCTATTGCGATCTTTCACCCAACTTCGTTTTCCATTGTTTAATTTTTCCGTGACAACAAAAATGTCAAGTGTTGCATTGGGATTTTTTCGATATATTTTAGGTATCTAAAGAATATACTTATACTAATACTTCTATATTTCATGCAAAAAAAGCAGACGAAAATTACACAAGTACTATTCGAAAAGGGATGTGAGTAAAGATGAAACTAACATCCATGCCCTTTGCGAATGATTTCTAGTTTTGCAAGAGAAAACAGTTTCACTCTGAAAATATCACTTACCCGAAGTCTTGGTAGTACTGAGGACTTTGCTGGTCTATTTGTCTTAATGCCTTGTATGCGAGAAATATAACCATTGGATTTTGCCGCTTGTTTTTGATTGTATTGATCAGATTTATATCTACGTCTTGATTCGCGCTTGAGATCAAGTGAAAAATGTAAACGCTGGCTCTGTTGATTTGGTGATACGTTTAGTTCATTCAAACTTTGAGAACAATTCAAGCTTGAAGTTAACAAGGAACAATCTTGTTGTGAAGGAACTGCACGACCGACTGTAACTATACATAAAAAAGGACAATGCTAATTATAACCTAATCCTATATGTTCATTTCAATACGTTACTTGTAATAGGTTTTGATGTACAGGGGTTAACATTCAAGCCTGAAACGAAGATGCACTATTGTTATTCTTCTATCTAATATATATATATACCGAATATTACTTTGATTTAATGGATCCAAAATAAATAATGCTTCATTGATTATATTTTCTAGACCAGGGTCATTATCGGAAATGATTTGATTCGAATGGGAAACTATGGAAATAAAATTCGTCAACTTTAATATAGAAATGAATATTCGATCGTACTATCATCAGGTTGATTTTGAGTAGAATATTTATATGATGAGTGTTGCATATTATACTGACCGATTGCGCATATTTGATCTGTTTGTATATTCATCATCGCTAAATAGTTTCCATTTTGATATGTTATTTTATGGAAAAGTAGATAAGAAAAAGTGTTACTTGTATCAGTCGGTTCTTCTTGAAGCAATGCATGAGATAGATGTTTTGTATGAGATTCGTTATGGTCTATTGCAGCGTAGTTATTTACAGGTACATCTATGTTTCAAAAATAAAAGCCTCCTTTATTTATTTCTCATTTCAACCAAAAAATGTATTACCTTCTTCGGATCGTGCCTCTACATTTATCAACGTTGGCAAATCAAGAGCATCTGTCAAATGAAAATATATTATTTATTATTCTTACTTAGCCTTCAAATGTGTTCATGCCTGACGATGTAGCATAGTCTAAGTCTTCAGTTGCACGATCAACAACAAATAATAAGATACCTTGAAATACATCGTTGACGTCTTTAACATTGATAGGCGAATTTAATTGATATGGATTCAATCGAGAGTCTAATATATTTTGATTAAGTATATTCAAGTTTTTTAACTCATTACTATAAAAGCTCAGGCACCAATAATCAGGTAAATGCAAACCATACATATCACGCACTTCTTCATGGATTTGATCAATAGAAGATTGAACATTTGGGCGTGCGGTTTTTTTCATAAAAGGACCACACATAATATATGTATCGACTGTTTGTTGGAATGTAGCCATTTACGATGTGCACTTGGAATAGAACAGAAAGAAACTGATTGTCTTACATTTAGTGCTCAAAATTTAAGTATATCTTAAACCTAGAGATTTTCCAAGACTGAGACAGATTAAAGTATATTTTCGTTTTTCATTATAATCTATGAGTTTATAAATTATACAATTATTGTTTTTAATTTTTATTTCGAAATATATCTTTTTTTAATTTAAATTCATTAAATTAAATATTTCGTTTTTGTAATCACATTGATTACAAGGACATTACAATTATACGTCAAACTGCGCCCATGCAAAGGTTTGCAGCCAATTTTAATGGATGCAATTAACCAATAAGAAACAAACTTGCAAGTCGTTACATTACATTACCTGTTCTTATATTATATAGACTTTCAATATAGTATCCTTTATATAAAATAGGGCTCAAGTTGTACTCTGTTCAAAGCTACATTATTTCATGCAAACATGATCGAACATTAGCAATGTATCCATTGAAAAGTATTCATGAACGATAGTATATGTTAATTTAATTGTACAAGAACTTGAGAAATACAATAAAAAATGCACTCATAGGGTCGATTGTTACAAAAATCTAAACAAAACGTATAGACGCTCGTCAATTACTGATTATCGCTCACTTGATGATTCACAAAGAAATCTATGGAGTGAGTATAACAATGCGCATAAATTCTCACAGTTAAAAATTGCAATCACTTTTCGTTGACAATCAAGCGAAGATAAATCTAAGAAAAGTTAACCTGTATCAATTTGGATTTACTTTTCGATGAATTTTGTTGTCAAAAAATATGTTTCGGAGAAACTACGCTATAATTCCATTAGATCCACATATAATAAAACTTCTCAAATGATACGAGTGAGAAGTTGGCCATTTTTAGTTGAGATAAATCTAAGAAAATCAACAATCGTCCTAAGGACTCTACTCAAAATGAGTTCATTCCATGATAAATAACCATCAGAAACCAGTTTCAAGCAATTCTTTTTTTTGTATCGTTGAATAAAAATCAATATACGTATTCATGCCTGCTTTTCTAGTCTCGAATCATAACTCAAGTAGCTATATGAAATTCTTCTCGGAGTAAGAATCTTTTTGATTCTATCTACATTCGAGTATGAATAATTCTTGTAAGTATAGTAGTCAGATATTGATCCTAGTAAAAAAAGTTGATAGAATTTAACGTATGAGGAAAAAAATAAGAAACTATGACCTATCAAGTATAAATAGGTCAAAGCTCGTTTCTTTATAATAATGAGTGCTAAAAATAAAAAAAAACAGCAAATTGATACAAATATTAAAAAAATATGCCAAAAGATACATATGATGAGTGGAATTTAACAGCAAAAGTTGTATTATAGTGTTATGAACAAAATATGATTAATGCTATTGTGTTGTATCTTTCGATCAAATATTTCAAGAGCAGATGAAACTTTATCAGACTTCGAGATCATTGATTTTAGTCTATTTACATTTATTTCATGTTTCTATTGAAGTTGGTTGTTTTTGAGATGATTCATATCCAATTGTGTCAGGAATAAAATAGATGAAGATTTCTGCATTAAGAAAATTAAAAATTTTGCTTTAAAACTTGATCGTCATCGTTCATCTGAAAGAAGAAAAATGAAATTAAGAAAAAAAAAACACATCAAACAGTTATTTACTTTCGATCGTTTTCGTTTGGGTGAGCAAATGCGATCTAGATAAAAAAATAAGTTTCCATAAGAAATTGATTTAGAAAGAAAAAATATAAAACAAACCTCTACTACTACTTGACGATCGTTCTGTAGCGGATTTAGCTAAATAAGAAAAAGAAATATATAATTAGGTTGAAATTACAACACCTTTGGTTTTTTTACGAGTTCGAATAAAATCAGATAGACATAATGTATCCCAATCAGGAACCCCATTTCGTGCTAGAACACATAGTAAGCGTGGTGATGATGGACAATGTGCTGCTGTGTGTAATTCAACAACTGACTGCTCGCTTAATTCATAAATCGCTTCAAGTTGCTTTTTCGATTTATCCCATTTTGTTATCATATGCAGACGTAATCTATATATATATATAAACAAAAGAAATTAATGAAGACTTATTTCTAGTTAATTAACTTACGTAAAATCGCCGTCTTTTGTTACATTGGTTTCATTTAAATCGAGATAAATTGGATTCATTGAATCTGTATCTTTCGTATATTGATCTGGTAAAAATCCTTTATTCGAATATCGATACCATACTCGCATGCTACCTTCGATTTTTTCCAATACAACTACTACCATTAGTTTTACATTAGATTCGAGATTCTTTGAAGGAATCTAGAGACAACCAAAAAAATTTAATTGGTGAAATTATTTTTATCAAGGACACTTACTCGAAGTTTAGGCAAAACTTGAATCCTTTTTTCCTTGTATCCTTTACAACCTTGGACACAAGTGATGCGTCCATTCGACCCTTCTTTACGCATTTTGAATTCATCAGATTTATAAATATTTCGTTGATAGGGATTAACATCTAGTGAAAAAAATAATCGACTTAATAGTTTGCTGTGTTGTCGTTGTAATGGAATAGAAGATGGAGTTGTTGTTAATGAGAGACCTAATGTTTAAATAGAAGAGATAACGCATGAGAACATAGTACGCTCACATACCTCCAGTTATATTTGATAAATATTCGCTACGATCCTGTGAAGTATCACTACTTGTTACATTATTACATAAGTCATCATCTATATCGAATAAAGACTTTTAATTTCTGTAGAATTAGAAAAAAACGAAAAGTCTTACTTGATTCACAAATCGATGAACTTTCATCGGAATAATTATTGATTACTATTTGAGCGCGTTGTGTCTCTGAAGAGAAAAAAAACAAGTGACTCGTTTATATCACTGATAAATTTCATTCTTACGAGTTTGACAAGGAGAGCTTGAAAGTATCTTCGAATTATTTACAATGAATAATTGAATACTTGAAGGTATATCTTCAATAGTAGATTGAAATGGATTTAAATTATTTCGTAATTGATCTTCCAGATCTACTAATGCCATTGTACTCATATCATAATACATGATTCGATACGATTTTGGGAGACATGAACGAAATACATCCTGTACATATTCATGAACTTGTTGTAGTAATGTTTTCTCATTGAATTTTCTAGTGCTGCATGTCGTTTTTCCACATGAAACTAACGTTTCAAGTGATCCATTGTGCAGAGCCATTCAGAAATCTTCGTTTGTGTTAAAATAATACACAAGAGACTAGTTTGAAACCACATTTTATACATATCAAACGTGAGTAATGTGAAAATTCCGAGCCATTTTGAAACTTCCAAGCTACCGTTTACCTCAAAACGTGGACATGGTTTTTTTTTCGTTCTCTTCTTCCTTTTCCTAGAAAACAAGAAAAGAAAACGCGTTAAGTAAATAAAACAAAAGAATAACTCAATTCTCGTGCTGCGATATTCAATATCGAGCAATGATGCAAAGGAATTCTTTTATTTAAACATGGCCTCGTGGAATTTAATTATAAATTTTTGCCAAAGTGCTCACTCGTTTTTTATTAATGCTAATCTTCATTACAATGGCCTCATACAAATGATGATTGATCATTACAAGTTTATTTTCGACGATTATTTACTAGAAATTTATGATACACGTTGGAAACGCTATATTATTCTTGATGAAGAATATTTTACCAATCTGCAAGATCGGTTATCGAGAACTGACGGGAGTTCATTGAATGGACGCATTACTGTAAGACAATTACCACCAAAAGATTCCAGGAGAGATTATTTATCTACCAATCATGTTCGTAAAAGGACTTCCTCGTTTTCATCTCAAACAGATGTTCTAATCATATGGCTGGATTCATATATTGAACATTCAGATCATTGTCAGTGTCTCAAACATAAATTTAGAATAACGACTACGTTGAATGTAGCTCGAATCATGTTAGATTACGAAATTTGTATTGATGATTTAATACAAATACATTCTAAAATGCATAATAATAAAAATCTCCTGAATATATTTACTAATAAAGATGAATGTATCGAGTTTCTTCAGCGACTTGAATCAAAAGTAAAAATTTTATTTATAACATCAAATTTATTTTGTGAAGAAATCGTTCCATTAGTCATTCAACGTGTTCAAAGTATCTATATTTTAGTGCACGATGGTTTATTTTCTTACGAATGGATCTTTGATTATAAATCAAACCTATTAATATTTGACAACAGTCGTTGTTTACTTCGAGATCTCGCACGAAATTTCGTTGAAAAAGCTGAAAATACTTCGAAATTATCGTTAAAACAAGCAATTACTTTGTTAAAATGGGCAAGGCAATTGTATAACCGTGCAAATACTATTGATGATCCGCCACGTTTCGATATTATTTTCAATGTCATTGATCGTCAATTAGAAACATTAGAATTACATTGCATGTGTCAACAATCAGATAAAACTATTAACCATGAACAACACTATAAATATGCTCTCGAATGTGATGAAGGTTGAAGACTTTTTTTTATTAATGAAGACATGAATTTATTTTAGTTATAAGCAAAAGAAATATGTTTTTTTCAAAAATAATCATCCATCATTAAATGAAATAAACATGAAAAGTTAGTATCATAAGGATATGATTATCCCTTAAGAAAGTGGATGCATTTTTTAAAGACAGCAGCATTGAAATAATTTATTAATAGTTAAAACGAAAACGCAAAAATCAAATATCAAAAACTGTGGTTTTATTTATCTAAAAAGAATAAAACCTAATTTTAAAAGCGAGGCCCAGCACGTGATGAATAACCAGGTTGACTGCCCATCATTTGTTCACCATCAACAAACATCATAAAACCTAATAGAATAAAACTAGATAACAAACCTCAATAGTACTATCGATAGACTCACCTTCAAGGCCTGATGGAACACCACCTGGACCACGAGGAGGTGGTGGCATATTGCCTGGAAAATCAGATATTTCACCTTCCATTCCTCCTCTTGCTAAATCATTCATCATAGCCATAAGTAATTGAGGTGGTATGAATGCAGAACCTGGTGGGAGTCTACCGAAATCAACTTCCTAATAAAAAATTGAAAAAAAAACAAATAAATGTTTTCTTGCGTCTTATTAACGTACTCTAGGTCCACTTGGTTGTTGTTCTTGTGTTGCATCTTCTGCGTTTTGTTGAGAACCCGGCTGCTGCTGTTGTTGTTGTTGTTGTTGTTGTCTAAATAATTGTGATGGTGGGCCTCGACCTGGAGGAGCAAAAAAAGGAGCGCCACCGAACATAAATGGAAATGGTATAAAATCAGCTTCGTCATCCCCTTGTTCACTTCCATCACTTTGCATACGACGTAATTGTTCAGAAACTTTTTTTTCAACTATGGGCACTAATCGTTTTAAAACAGCAGCAACCAATTTTTCTTCTTCATTACGATGTGTCTCTGGTTTTTCTTCTTTCGATGACGATGGTGATGATGGTGTTGCTGCTGCTACTGCTGCAGATGTTTCTGTTGTCTTTTTTTCTTCGTTGTGAGATTGAGCTGCTTGAATTTTAGCCTGTTTTTGTTGTTCTTCTTGATGAGCTTCATTTAATTGTGGATATACTTGACGTATACGTGTTGCTGACCCGCTTCCTTGTTGTGGATATACTTGACGTACTGGTATCGTAGGACCTTTTTGGGCTTCACCGCGAGACACACGTTCTTCTAGAGTCAATTTTGGTTTTTCATCGTTATTTGATTTGTTACCTTGAACATTAGATCCATTCTGTTGAGTAGACAAGACATTATTCGAATCTAGTTTTACAGAAAAAAATAAAAATTTATCGTTCGAATAAAATATTCATTACGAACCTTGTTGTATGTTTTTTAATAGATCTGGATTTTTTTGTATATAAGTTGGAAGAGGTCGCTCAGGATGAAGTAGAACTACACGTTTTGCAGAACCATCAGCAACTTCAACAATATCACCATCATCGATATGATAGTACTGTAAAAGACGACGAATACTTTCGTCTTGATCTCGAACGGTAGGCTTTTGTATATTTGACGGTGGTGCACATTGTTGTGGTTGTTGAGTAGTTGATGAATTTTCTGTAGCAGATTTTACTGTTCCATTTTGAGAAGTACAATTAGATTGTGATGGACTATTTGGTTTTTGTTCTTTGATAGGTGTTGAAGAAGATTCTTGTGGTTTTTCTGTTTGTTGCGATGGAGAAGTTGATGTCGATGATTTATCCGGTACTTCAATTTGTTCCTTGTCGGCAACTGGTGAAGATTGTTTATTTGTTTTTTCTTTTTCATTATTTTTATTATTGCCTAATATTTTAAAGAAACCTGGTAGTAGAAAATGAGAATTATGTTCTTCATCGGACGATGTAATCACGCCCTTTACAATTGACTCTACTTTATCAGCATCTAATAATTGCGTCCCATTCTAAAAAATAGTATAAATATATAATTAGATTGATGGTTACTTAAAAACGAATAATAATTACGCACTTGAGTAAGAAATTTGTATGCTATAATTGCATGTGATCGACCTAAATTCATTTTTTGAAAAAGTTGATCAAATGCACTCGGCTCAATTGTAGCTAGTTCTCCGTCGTTACTATCCGTTGAATATAATTCAAAACCGAGTTTAACTAGATCTTGAACAACAGGCGGTAGTTGATTTCGTCGAACAACATAATCCGTAAGACTAGCCCATGCATCAAGAAATTGATCTAATGTTAATGTATCGCGTTTTCCATCGGGTAACGGAACTTGATCGTGAACATGTTCCCAGAAAGCTCGTGTTGCTCGACTTAATCGTCCTTCTAAATCACCATCATCGGATCCTTCTTTTCCTGCAGCAGTTACATGAAACTATGAAGAAAACAAAATAGATGCGTAGACGAATATTTTGTTTTTATTGACTTACTAATAAATAAAATTCAACATCTTCCCAAGTGACAAATTCTTTATTTTCAATATCTAAATATTTAAAAAGTAATGCAAAAGAATTCTTTTTTTCTCTCCAAAATAAACCTTCATACCAAGATTAACATTGAAAAAATATTTTGCTTTTTGTCGTTGTAAATCAGTCAAATATTTTGAATCACCTTTTCCAATTGTGAAACTATCATCACCTTGTTGATTTCGATTGTCATTCGAATCAGAAGAATTAACTTTTGCTGTCGATTCAACTTTTTTACTATCTTCATCATTGTTCGAAGATGTTTTCGTTGTAGTTTCTACTGCATTGCCATTAGCTGAACTAGAAGATACACGTGTAGATCGAAATTCTTCTTTCGTTGGAGTATTTGTTGAGATTTTTTCTTCATTCTTCTTCTCGGTATTTGTATTTGATTCAGTATTTGATGCTGAAGATATCGTGTTCGACTTCATATCTTCATTGGAAGATTTTTCTGACGATAAGCTATTTGTGTGTGGTGTGATTTGATTTAAATCATCGGCCTTATTCGTTGTTTTATCACCTTGATCACTATCACTCGATGATGATGTTGGTAATTTTTTTACTTCGTCCTCTTGTGTCGTTTTATGATCGTCACCATTAGTCGTCTTTGCATCATTATCCACACTTTCAAGATTTCTATCAGGAATTGTCGCCATAGTAAAATGTTTGATTAAACTTAAAATTTGTCCTTGCTATTACCTTGTTTTCTATGTATCTTACCGGCGCAAACAGGTATCTTTTGAGTACAGAAATATAGTAATAAAGACAGAATGTTGGAACGATGAATTATCAATAGAGACACTTACCTTCAAGTCTCCTACAGCGAGGTGAAAGAAAAAAAAAAGACTCACTATTACATATGACTGTATAGAAGTCATGCATCATTGCACTTTTTTTTGTTACTGGTTCGTTCGTTTGATTATTTAAATGTACGTATAACAACTCAAGGATACATGCCATCTACAAATTATGTTCTTGACTTGAAATATTTATTCACAAAAAAAAGCGAAAAAAAAAATGAAATAAAACGATATAATATATATTTATGTATATACGTATATGACAATATGAAGAAACCAAAATAATAATAAAGTAAAAGATAGTTTATGTTATCAACTTCTCATGTATATAAGACCAAATAGAAGAGCACCACCAACTGCTGCTGCAGCTCCCATATAGATCAATGATTTTCTTGACTGTTCATTCTGTTTATTATCTAGTGATAATTTTAAAATATTATCATCATTGATTGATTCATCAGACACTTTTAATATCTCATTATTCACATTTTCATTTGTTAACTCACATTGATTATCACACAATGGTAGAGAAAGAGACGATGGTTGCGTCTAAAATAAAAAGGTGTGAGTTTGATATGAAAATATATTTGTTTTAACTTACTGATTTCATTTCTTCACCGAGAAGAAATTGAACAATACCTTCATGTTTCAAATGACGAGCTATATCAAGAGCAGTTAGACCATTATTTGTCGTCGATTTTAGATCAGCACCGTACTTGATCAAAGCTTCAACGGAACCTAAATGACCATGTTGCGTAGCCATTATTAATGGACACCAACCTTTTGCATCACGTCGATCAATTTTTGCACCATATTTAACTAATAGATGTATCAAAGCAGATGAACTACCAAAACGAGCAGCTAACATTAACGGTGTCATCATTTTTTCATCGGACGTATCAAACGATGGTTCAATATGAGCACCGTGTTCAAGTAAAAATCGACATATAGATAATTGATCATCATTGCCACTTGTTGTTGCACTTTTCGAATGTGATGACATACAACATGCCATTAGCGGTGTCATTTGTTCGGAACTTTTACTATTAACATCAGCACCAAATTCCAAGACAAATAAAGATACTAGTGAAAAATGACACGAATAAGCAGCATGTATTAAAACTGTCCATCCACCAGATTTAAAACGTCGTTCGATCGATATAAGACTTGATGATTGACTATATATTTTTCGTAGTGTATCTATATCACATATATCAATCGCAGTTTTTACGCGTTGTTCAATTGAATCTTCTTTGTTGATTGTTGACGACGTAGACGAAGAACGATTTAGTAAAGATTCAGATAGTTTATTAGCTAAAATTCGTGAACGAACTCGTCGAGCATCACGTTCTTCTTCATTATCATCATCGTCGTCGTTGAAGGGTTTTGAATGATAGGGTTGATGGTGAAGTCCATTCATATGATGAACATGTGGGGATGGTCGACGTGCCATACTAGTTAACATGGTTACGATCTTATGTTTTTTTTAAACACTGATGCAAGAAAATTAACTTTCACAAGACAATATTTCATTCATCGCTTTTTTTTCTTTACTCAAACATTTGGTTGACTCATGACTATCCTTGCTATTGGTGATTAAAAGGAAAAATCAAACCGATAGATGTCGCTAGTTCGCTCAATACTATATAGAAAAGTAAGCGCCATAAACAATATTAAATCCATTGAGAAAAGAAATGATTTTTATTTCATTCACATTTTGTTACCACGTACTCGTCGAATGTTTTATTCATACGGATATATATGAATCATCACATTAGTATTTCGTAAGATGAGAAATTATTTCCTACGGAATATTTATTTGCTTTAAGTGATGCATATGATTATCTATTACTCATATAATACATGTCATTTGTCAGTGAATGAAAAAAGATATATGTTAATAAGACATCAAATATAAACTAATTCAGATGATTGATGTATCTGTGCATCGTTTCCGAAATATTGATATAGTAAGAGAATAGAAAATGTTCTCGGGTAACAATTATCTCTATGGAACTAAGGATATCTAGACATTATTTTGATTCTTCTATTCATTGTTATGTGTTCATATTAAAATATATTATTATAAGCAAAAAAACAAACAATCAACAGCTTAAGTTTCTGAATAATAGTTTATAACATCATTTATTTACATGTGTAACTATCATGTCGAAGTTTAGCTTGATTTCTATTGAGAATACACAATGAATATAACATTATTTTTTCTGATTTAACATATTCTAATGGTTTAGACAAGAATTTGACTATACAAGAAATGACTATGCAAGTTTAACTTTGTAATCTTTAGCCGTCGAAATCGAATTCATCATCGTCAAAAAGAGAATTCAATATTTCTGATCAGTCGGAGAGAATGAATACAGCAATAATCTCTTTGGACTGGATTGTATTTTCTATAGATATATCACACAAGTCGATTGGATTCGGTGCACAGATATATAATGAAATCCAGGCATCACATTATTCTCTCGAAGTAGATAGAGAAGAGAGAAAAAAAGAAAATATATTTTCGTATTTCTCTAGTAGACTAATCGATAGAAAACATCGTCACTTTTCGAAAAAGCGAGTGTAGGATAAACATATCAAAGATGCACGGTAAACTCTACGTTTTACTTGCGATACTATTTGTTGTGATTATTGCATCGGTAAATGCCGATCAATCTGCAAAAAAGGGTAAGTTTTTATTGATAATGGTTTTTTCAGTGGATGAAATAAATTCTTTTCTTTTTTTTTTACAGATAATGTGTCAACCAAACCAAAGAAAACCGTAGTTTTCAAAGACAATGATCAAGATAAAGAAGGTGAAGTATCCAGCGAAGAAGGTGGTGAAAGCGAAGAATCCACAGCACAGGATTCAAAACTTCAACCGGAAAATCGAAAATATATACGCGTACAATTCCCATCTGAGTATATATTCAAAATGATTTTCTTAGTTTCGTTTAATGATCTTTGTTATCCGTACTTTTTAGACAACCACAATCGCCGTTACCAGTACCAACTAGTTCAAACTCAAATAACGGTTTTACATGTAATGGATTACTTGATCCACAATATCCTATTTTTTCGGATATGTGCGGTGCTGTACCTCAAGCTCGATATGCTTTACCAAATACATTTGGTCATAATGATCGTTGGCAAATAGCTCATATTTTAACGACTTTAATGAGTTCAACAACAGATGCATCTTGTATTCGTTCATTACGTCATTTATTATGTCCAATGCTTTTTCAACCATGCCGTGTTCGTCATGAACCTCCACTTGTTCTTCCTTGTCAATACTATTGCCGCGGTTTGTTATTGAAAAGCTAATCTTTTTCCATATGAACTTTTCTGGTTTTCTTATTTAGCTGTTAAATCCCAATGCGGTATACCTGCGCTTGATGTTATTCCATGTGAATCACTTCCATATGCATCTGATTATTGTCCAAGTATACGATTCTTTCCCCTTATTCTATTAGTTTTACTTTAAATTTTGTTTTAGATCTTCCACTAGCCAGCTCATCTCCTTCACCACCTGCTCCTGCTGCTACTACCAATCAACCACGTATGTCATTCAGTGAAACTGGCTCTGATATTTTCTTTTTTGATCATTTCTCTTACTTTGAATAGAAGCACCTGGTCCAGCTCCACCACAAACAGAAAGATCCTTACCATCTGCTACTGCCAAACCAACTACACAACAATCAACTCAACCAGCTCAACAATCTGCTGGTCAATATGTGTATCCTTTACCTACACATCAATATCAAATAGGTGCAAAATATGTACCACCATATTTGCCAGTCAAAACTCCAACTGCAGCTGATTATTACGCAGCCAATTTAGCACGTTATCAAACTGTTCCCCCTGCACAACCCATCAAACAATAGTTATCCTGCGTTCTTTTTATTTTCGACTTTTAACCTTTAAAAAAAAAGGGCATATTCATTATATAGCAGTTGTATGGGGTTTCTTTTTATTGTAATAAACATTTGATTCTTTCAAGCAAATCAATATTTTGATATTATTAAGGTTTTATGTGGTATTTTAGGCAATCAATTCAGTACATACATCTTCTTATTTCTTGTATGAAAAATGAAAATAATAATGAATAACAGAGGGTTCTAACATGATAGTATATACTTTCTAACATGTGTAAAGCATCGAAAAAATAATGATTTGTTTTTAGAAATTGTTTAGTATAATTTATTTTTCAAATAGATTGATACTTTTGATGATCGTATGTTTTTCTCTGACGAAGATAGATTATCAATGCATGTATAACACCAGGAGCCTAAGCTATTAATAAAGATGATGAAGAAAGTAGAACTAAAATCTTACCCATCCGATTAGAGTCAATAGAATGTTTAACCAAAGTTGGAAATTTTTTAAAGTTGAATATATTAGAATAATGACAAGTGGCGGTAAGAGAAATATAAAGATTTAATATCATGCAATTAAAGCAAAGCTCGGGTTGAATACCCATTACGGAACAACTCATGTTTTTTTTGTCTGCAGATAAATTTTCATTCTGAAGAATTAATTGGATATAACGCTGAATCAGTAGACTTGCATGCTAATTATAACTCAATATCGATATGATTACTCATTTTGTATGATTTTTCAGAGAAACAGAAAAAAGCAGGTATTGTTGATAACGTTTTATGACTCATTTCAAACGCGTATTCTACTTCATACATGATGTGATCATGATTATGATTCAAACAATTTTTGTGATGCAGACTGGAAATATTATTAAAAGTTCTATTACGAATGACATACTGATTTCAAAACAAACTGATGGATGCATCTATACAAAGTACCCAACCAGAATTTTATTTTTGAATAAAAATAAAATAAAAAAAAATTTAAATTGATTAGCAGTGAATAATTGTTTTCAAAGTTTTTTTTATTATTTCAATGTATTCTCGGGGCTTTGACGACTGGTAGTCTAATAAGGAAAATAAGAAAATACGTGTATTAATCATATTATAAATTCCAATTTACCCAAGATCATAATCACATAAATCATTCACAGTGTCATTTATTCGTTTTTGTCCTGAGCATTAAATTAGAAAAAACACGAAAATAAAATAGAATTAGTTCAATAGAGAGTTTTTCGACTTCAGAAAAAAACATTATGCTATCATACCTGTTGGTTGACTTTCTAAGATTGGCAGTTGTTCACCGCTGCTTGGGCATATGGTATCTAAAAAGAAAAGATCTTTTTATTGGTCGGCTGAGATTTCGAGTAATTCAAAATGTCAGTAACTCTTTGAATTTGACCTGCTTTTACTTCATTAATCATCAAAACGTGATATACTCAAGATTATGTCAATTCGTAGGAGACAAAGATATCTTATTCAATGCTACGCCATAACGAAAATCTATATTTCTGAGTGCTTTTGAGTGTTTGAAATATTTATAGAATAGACGTTTTCTACAATAATTAACGAGGTTGAGTTTCCTTCGGTCTGATATACAGGTATCCCTATTTTTAGGTGGTTGGGGAATTATTTCACTTACTTATTGTATGGAGTTCGCTACGCCACGCTGGGCAACATTTGTAAAATAATAGAGTTGAGAAATCGTTGCAATTTTCACTATGTACCAATTGAATTTTTATTTTAAAGAAATTGCAACCGTTGCTTGATGGCTCTAAATTTTTTAAACAAAAAAATGAATATGTGAGTCAAAATAAGTGATTATAGAGGCTGTTACTTTGCGTTTCAGGTTGACTATGAGATAATGCTTGTGGTACGATGTTTAACTGTATCCTAGAAAATCAAAAGTTTCAGTTGTACATTATTTACAAAAATGAATACAGCAAACTAAAGATTATCTTGGTGTTAAACATGCAAAAATTTACAACGGAAAATACTGTGCTGCAATATAAGCTGGTGTTGAATTTTGTACTTATCATAATTAGCAACAGATTATTTCTGTCTACTTGAATCTTAATATGATGCGTTCTCTCAAATGATTTTCAAATGCGATTTATATCGATGATTGAATATGATCGCAATATTTTTTTCTATAATTCGTGCGTTTGCACTGCTTCTAATTCATTTTTGACTGTTTCATTCAGCAACTTGAAGTCGAATCTGTCGGCTGGAATCTCTCATATCTAAATTGATTTAAGATCATTTGATGTAAATAAATTAGGGGATTCCTTACTATAAAGTAAGGATCAGAAGAATACGACAAGGGAAATGTTTTGAATTCCTAGCACTGATATTAGATATATCTATGACTAGCGATGCAATGATGACGATCAAAAACCGTTCCACCGTCACCGTTTCACCGCTTGAGACCGGTGAAACGGTGGATCGGGCCCCGGTGAGACCGGTGAAATGGTGGACCGGGCCCCGGTGGGAGCGGTGAAACGGTGGACCGGGGCCCGGTTCACCGGTGAAAGCCGGAAAGACCACGAAACATCTACGGTGAAGGCCGGTTTTTTCTAAGATTCAGAGATATCTCTATCAGTGTGATCTGGTAGCACCACTGCACCGGCCTTCACCCAAGGTGTTTTGTGCTCTTTCCGGCTTTCACCGGTGAACCGGGCCCCGTTTCACCGTTTCGCCGCTCCGACCGGGGCCCGGTCCACCGATGGACCGATGCACCGGTCCACCGTTTCACCGGCCTCAAGCGGTGGAACGGTGAACGATTAATCGTCACCGTTGCATCCCTATCTATGACGGGGTATTGAGGGTAGTTTTTCAGGAAGAGATTTCAAAAATTCATGAATTTACATAGTATCTCTGGTAATGATAGATGTTCTACTCTAAGATTTAGCAAATCTGATCGATTAGAAACAGTAGTTCTAGTTTGAATCTGTCATAACCTTGAAAATCTCAACTTTGTTTGGAATACAATAGTGGATCGCAATAGATTCTCAACCGTCATGGGCATTTCTGATTGAAGCATGCCGTATTATACGGAAATGACTTTCCTTAGGCGATAGTAAATCAATTGAAAATGTTTCGATCAATTGATGTTTAGGGAGTATTGTCTCATTGATTAGATTTCCTTATGGAACACGATTCTTAACTGATCACACTTGATTCAGCAAAGCAAAATCGATCTCAGTTAATGCCATAAAACTGTTTCTACCAGTAATATATAATAATTCATAGCATGCTCGACTCGATGTATGAGACCGACTCTAATTATATCTCATACATTTCCAGAAGTGAAACGTCACTATTAGGAATGATGGCAGATAGACTTTTTCATTCCATTGTATATCAACAATTTGCCACATTATCAGAGACTCTTTCAACCAATCTAGCATATTTTTGACAGCTTGAACTGCTCATGAGACTATCCATCTATCCAAAAGAAAATATAAGCTGTGTCTACTCTTAAACTTACCGGCGATGATGTATCTGTTCAGACAAAAGTCACTTGAGACAAGTGCATATCCCATCATATTTGACACAAGTAATCATTCTACGAACTATGTGAAATCAATCTAAATATCTTTCAGAAAAAATCCCTCTATGGAAAAGTTAAAATAGAAGCAAAGAACGTTTGTCTGTTTTCTAAAATTTTGTAGCAGCATGAAAAATGTTAATGAGTAACGTACTTGAACGATTTGTCTCTGATGTTAAAGTAAACAGGATTCTTGCTATCACCGTCGCTGAAGTCAATAGAATAAAAAGGATGTATTTTATCATCGATAGTTATTGATACTCTCAACCATTTAAAACCAGTTTTAATTGTGCAGTGAAACATTTCAGGAATCTATAAATAATAATAATGATAAACTATAATTTATTAATTAAGATAAATCTTCAATACTAACCTCTATAGATAATATGATCTGATGTCTGTTATCATTAAATGGTACGTCAGACCCAGAAAAATTCAGCATCGTAACATTCAATTTGCAATCAATTTCTTCGCTCTTTGATACTAAAATAAATTCTCACAAAAAAAACTACCAAAGCAAATTAAATTACGTCTATAAAGTAAGTTTGCATAGAATTCGAATGGTTGTTGTGTTTGTAAATGTTCAGGAACTAAGCGAAATACAGGTTGTATACGTGTAAGGTTGTATGTCTTGTTGAATTCTTGTTGCGCAGATATTTTAGTATTTACTGGCTCGCCTACGAAATAATAACATCAATATCAGTACATAAAATATTGGTTCCAATGGAATCAAACAATCAAATGTCGAAGGAAAGGAAAATTTTCTACTTTTTTTGATAAAAGACTATAGAGAATGAAAATATGTGCCTACCGGATGGATAACTTTTAAGGATGTACGTCTTTTCACTTTGCATACGGCTAACAGATACTTGATTTTTCATATCGTAGTCAGGACGTTTTCGCATTGAAACATTTTCCAGCCTAACAGGATAAACATTTATTTAGCAGTATATTTGACAATCACATAAGCTTACCTGAGGAGATTAGGCTGATCATGGCAGAGTTTGATTGGAAAAGATAACATATCGTCATGATTTCCTTTATTGTATGCTGGTTGGTAGATACTGAAAAACTTTCCTTTGCAGGATTCCGACACCATGACCATTTCCATTCTGTTGAAGTTCGATAAATTAATACCCCACTAAAATATTCATGATGAATATAAAGACTGCATATATATATATATATATTATTTATGCCTACAAGGTACAAAACTGGATCCCTGTCTAAAACGTCCAGCAATTTTTCTGTTCTATCTGCTTTTCCGGTAATATTTTGTTTAAGTGGATGAAGTAGAGCCATTGAATAAAGTTCCGCTAACAAATGTATATTTCTATTCGATTATCAATAATATAAAAAGATTTCTACCTTGATCACTTTTGATTGGATTAAAATTTGCTATACTTACTTGGCTGCAGCAAACCTCAATTATTTTCTCAGATGGAATTGAAGTTTTTCTTTTTCTCTTTGATTGCTTTCTAGATTCCGGTTGTCTTTCTAAAGATGATCAAACGAAATACATGCACCTGCATCATACGAAAATACCATGTATATCGAGAACGACTGATACAATACCAGTATTTTATCGAACCCTGAAGACCTCAATTGAATCTGATAGGATTCAAAACAAAAACACCATAGGAACTTGTATGATTTCGTGAAAGTCACGGTGACGAAATTACTCGCGGATCTCTAGTGTTTGATTTGAGATGGGATCGCGAGAAATTCGAAAAAGAAATATGACAATAAAAATATGTGACAGATTTCATCAATCGTATTCCCATCAGAATTTGGTATTGAATTTATCGATCTGGATATTCATTTGAATATAGACAATTTGGCAAACTCACCTTTATCAGTTTCACCAGGATCAAGCACAGCAAGATCAAGTGATGTTGGTTCTCGAACTCTGGGGGTTACTTCAAGACACGATTGAGCGCGATCAACTTTCGCTTTGCTTTCTTCATTCGAATGATCCAATGAACGATGAGAAGAATCTTTGAAATAAAATATTGTTCAATAATTGTCATCGAGATTTGACTTCGCCTACTTGAACAATTTATTATTGCAGATCCCAATGGAATTTGATTAGAGCTCATAGAAGTGGAGTTTGAACCAGATGGTAAGGATGTCAAATCACTGTCTATATTGTTAGTCAGTACACTTTCATCATCTATGGAAGAAAAACAAACGAGTCTCAAGAATAAAAAATAGAAACAAATACTACAGCAATATTTTCTTATTTTAAATATTACTTACTAGTGTTTCGAGTCACTGCTGTTGAAGATGTTTGTTGACTCAAATGATTTCCTAACGTTTCGTCGACACTTAATATTGGCTCATCCACTAAATTTAAATTCATATTCTTGTCATAATGTAAAACTCACAGTAATTTTAATAAGTCATACTATTTTCCTCTGATACGAACTGAATATATTGTTGATTGCCACTATGTGTTAAAGGATTTGATTCTGATAGCTGCAGAAGTTTGTTCAAAATTAATTTGTTTGTTTGTTCTTGTCTAACCTGACTAGCCTCAATTATTCCAACTTTTTGTTCTAGTCTTCGATAGAGATCCTGCAATAATTCTGCTAGTTGTTCTTAAAAGGGAGAAAAGGAAAAAAGCAAATCTTGAAAATCTAACATGAATGTATATTCACTGAAAGAATGTTCAGTTGGTGAGATAGAACCATTTGTATCTGAAATAAAATTTAATCAGACTGCAAATTATCATCATTTGTATTATGCGTACTACTAGATGCATTGACATAGATTTGGGATGATGGTGCTACAATATTAAAACCATTATCAAGTGAATGTTCGACAGTATGCATGCCTATGATTTGTGAAGATGATGTATTCAACACTGCTTCATTTCCTAAATTATATTTCATCAATATTCATATCATATAAAGTTGTTAGCTTACTATTCGAATTAAAATAACAATTATATATGTCACCTTTTTCCCTAAAAAAGTACGTGAATAGAATATATTTAAATGTATAGTTAAAAATAAATCTCAAATATTATACTGATTACTTATGAAAATCTTACCGTATATTGCTTGACTCTGCCATTGATAATGAAATGATTGAGCAGTTCGGTTATTGATTTATAGCTGATTTATACATGGAAAAATCCGCTGTAGCAGTTTGTATGCAGATAAGGTAATGTCTGGAACGCGACCATTGCTGTCACTTGTGATGACTTCGATAGATTCAAATTAAAAATTAACCATAAAATAATTATTGAACAGGTAGTATCAAAGGATATTTGCTATCATTTCACAAGAGTGTATTCAAAGATCATGTGAGCATTTTACTGTTAAATGTTCTTTGTGTATAAATTATGCGATTTTTCAAGTCAATACCTATAGTACAAACTCCATTAATAGTTAGCTTGTATCCTTTTTCACTGACAGTATTATTGTTTTCAAATTTAACAAATCCGAAATGGTTTACTGGTAAACACTAACTGAATGCATAGTTTAAATATGATCATATATCTGTCGAGTTATGAAAATATTAAAAAAGTTTCTACTATAATACTAGGGATCCTTGAAACATATCAAATGCCACAACATCATTACTGTCATTTTATTGGTTTAACAAATACTTCAGGCAAAGACTGTATTTGAGAGACAGAATGGTTTACATCGTATTATATGGCAATTGTATACTTCCTTATTTTATACGATGAAATAAAATGTTCTTCGCAAACAAAAATGCTTGCTTCTTGCTATCGTACAAAAAGATCTAAACATTTGTTTTTGTTTCTTACTTCTCGACGTTCAAGTCTAGAAAACCATACGCGGAACGATATCAATAGTAAAAATACAGCCATATGGGAATCAATGTCATCACTCATTACCATAAAAATCGTGTGTCGTGTTGTTGGCCATGACCATAAACTTGTACTAAGGGCTTCATTTAGATGAAATCAAATACGATAAGCAAGATGCACATGCACTGTTTCTCAAGCAAAAAAATTTTTTTTTATAGATACAACTATATCTAAGAGCGACAAGTCCTTGTAATGGACGTTCAACACTCGATACAGGGTCTTAATATGGGTTACCGATAACGTCCTAGTCTTTTAACCAAAATATTCTAAAAAAATTCGAACGGTATCGCTTCAATTGCGATTGAATATTGATTATGTTACAGTGAAAGATGAAATAAACGAGGAATATTTTATTCCAATAGTATATCAAAAATGATAGCAATATGCAAGATTTTCAGAAATTGAAATAGCTTTCGAACGTAGTACTTACTAGTGAGATTTATTGTGTAAAAAATAGAACACTCATGTTCACTTTCAAATGCGCAGGCGTGTAGTGATTTGAAGTTCTTGGCTATTGATGACGAGTATTGTTGAATGTTTTGTATTCAAATGAAATTTTAAATACTCAGGAGATATCAACTTGTATTGACAGATGGCGGTAATTCGAGATATTAAAATCGTTCTTCGTTGTGATTATTGCTAGGGTGCGCATTTGACTATGTGCCNAAATGATTGAGCAGTTCGGTTATTGATTTATAGCTGATTTATACATGGAAAAATCCGCTGTAGCAGTTTGTATGCAGATAAGGTAATGTCTGGAACGCGACCATTGCTGTCACTTGTGATGGCTTCGATAGATTCAAATTAAAAATTAACCATAAAATAATTATTGAACAGGTAGTATCAAAGGATATTTGCTATCATTTCACATTCAAATGAAATTTTAAATACTCAGGAGATATCAACTTGTATTGACAGATGGCGGTAATTCGAGATATTAAAATCGTTCTTCGTTGTGATTATTGCTAGGGTGCGCATTTGACTATGTGCCTATTGATTTCTTTCGCATCGATAACCGCATATTACTTGCCTAGAAAGAGAAATATTTCTGTAAATTGACTCTCGAAATATCACTTAAACAATGAGAATTCAGATGAAAACAGATTCAGTTGAAACCCTAAAAGAAGAATATTGAAGCCGGCTCGGAATGCACATTGATAATGAAGCTTGTTTTTCAAAATTCCTCACTGTATCTTCTATTACTTGAGCTCAACTCAACCCTCGCCCCCTACACATGAAATGGACAAGATGTAACAAGTCTTGTAACGATAGTTCATTTTTTTCAAGAATGAAATTCATGATATATGCGATTGCGATAAACAAAACAAGATGAGAAAGCGATGAACAAATAAATAGTCTAGAATAATTATTTTATGATTGAATTCAATTAATTAATTATTTAACCGTTTCTTCTGTTGTTTTAATTCGAGTGTCAAAATCATACTTTTGTAAAGAATATAATGCGGATATTTGACATTGGGAACGAGCTCTAAAACACGTTTATAAAATGACAATCTAAGCCGATAATTAGAATCTATTTGCTCATGTATCAGACCAATATTTTTATAGACTTGTGCAAGATCAGGATGATTTGGATGATATTCGTTGTATAATGATAATGATTTTTTTGATAGTTTTTCATAGCTATTTCTACTTGGCCAAGCGTAAAATAGGCATAACCAATATGATTGAACAAAATTAGACGTTCACAATGAAGATTATGTTTTTGATTATAAATAAATTCGAATGCTTGTCCAAAACAATCTCAAGCAGCGTAATAATGACCAAGTTTACCTTCGATCAAATCTGAATTGATATAAACATGCATAGGCGAATCTTGGCAATCATACGTTTGAAAACAGAGAGATTTAGCTTCTAAAGACTAGTTTAGTGCATACTTTAGTTGGTCATATTCGGAATAAATACGCCCTATATAACTGCAAATATTTAAAAAGGTTTTTCCCGACTGTATCAAGTTGAAATATCTTTTGAATAATCAATGCCTTTTTTTATACCAGTTTAAAGCTGATGTATACCGTCCAAGTTTAAATTGAACCGTGCCCATGTCAATGTATGCGTCAGAAAGGTTGCTATAATCTACGAACTTGGTGGAACAGAGCGAAAAGGAAAATAGCGAAAGAAAGACAAAGAAAAGTTTCATATATGAATATTTTCTTTTCTTCTTTTTCGCTCTTTTCCACTAACACCTAATCTACTGTCTTTGCTGGAAGTTGGCTTGCAATGGGACATCTTGGATAGTTATATACTATATCGAAGTCTCCACTCATATTATAGACCAGTTCTATCCATTGGTAAAGTAGATTTATCTCTACGGAATGGAATGTTGAATACCTTTGTGGAAATACTGGAGAGCACAAACATAGTTTTCCAGGAGTAGATTAAAGTAGCCCATAATAAAGTAATAACTACTTAACTCTGAATCTTCAAAAAGATGTTAACCATATTTCATTCCTCTAAGACAGTATCTTAGTACTCATCCAGGACTCCACTGTTTCAAAGAATACATATAACATCCACAAGTGATGTAATTAAGAGCAATATCTCGATGGTTTCTAAGATGGCATAGCAGCTGATGCTTAATTGTTTTTTGACAATATATTCTTGCATGTGCGTTATTATTTAGGGCGTTGTAATAAGCTGCAATCAGACAATATGCTATACTCAAGTCATTGCGATTAATTGATTCCACATTCTTCATTATTTGCGATTTTGATTTCAAGACTCTTCTCAAAATAGGAAACTGCTTTGTCGAACTCCTTCAGCTCAAGAAATGAATGCCCCATAGAAAGGTAAGGTTCACCTGATGTCGTTATCGTTTTTGTGCCTGTATATCTATTCAGGAGTTCCTCTCGTTTTTGAGAGAAGTGTCGTGCTTGCTCATAATTTCCTTTTAAGCGATGCATCGATTCGAGTTCAACATACATATCTATCAACGTTTGCACTGATATTGCACTTTGTTGTGCGACTTCTGAGTCATATTCATCACTAAAGCGCAGATTAATCTGATAAGATGCTGATAGCTGTGACATACTTAATAAGTAGGAACATATAGCTTCACCATGCTTAGCATAGAATGATATGGCACTCAAATCCGCCGGTTGGAGGTGGCGGTGTGTACACATACCGCCATCTAGGCTTGTATTAAGTAATGATAGCACGGTGTACTCATTCGCAATAGATATTCCAATGAAGACTCGCGATGAAACAGTGCTTGGGAATAATCATTTATTTCAAGAAACAGGCGTGAGATACTCATATGACGAAGCCATTTTTTCCTCGTCATCGGAAGAACTTTTTCTATCATAATATCTGCATAGTGCTTTCATTAGGATTTAGGCGAGCGAACCACTCAGGAGTAGATGCAACGATTTCGAAATTTGGATTAGAGTCGTTGCATCGTATTCGTAATTCTGCTTCAGCAAATGAATATGCTTCTTCATATTTGTTTGCAAGGTTATAAACAGAAGCAATACGATGACTTACTGTTGCAAGTAGGTTTAAATCGACCATAGTTGAATTTAGTTCTACGTTAAGCTTCAATAAACTATGCGAGGAAGCCAACGCTCCTTTTGAATCGTTTCGAATTGTGTCAGCTGCAACAGTCGCTAGCAGTTTGACAATCTGATGTATTGGTTCTTCTGGAAAATCGAAATCTTTGTCTATATCTTAGTAAAGAACTAAAATCATCGATATTTATACAAAAATTTGCGAAAAATCCATGTCACCTTTTCATTATAGGATTACATTGTTGAATAATATGATTAAACCTTTTATAAAGTTGCACTGCCATGTTCATATAATGCAGCGCTTTTGACACGTTCCCATGCTAGATATATCGATCTACAAGAAAACAAAAACGAAAAACAAATATGCTGATTATTGGATTGACATTTTCATTTGAATATTCACGTGTAGAAATATCTCTGATGATAATAAGTGTTTTCTGGAAATAAATTATAGCCAACTGATCATTACTCCACTGTGTATAGTCACAGCCAACATTGATATATGTCATAACTAACCGAGCATCATTTTTTGGTACTAGTTGAGACAGAATACTCAGTGCACACTTTTGAAATGAAAGTGCTTTTTGATAGTCCATTCTTGCTGAAAATATAGCAGCAATCAATAAATACCTATTGACCAAGTTACAGTGACTAAATTGATTTTTATTTTATATATATCCAATGTCTTGTGCAAATAAATGAGATACATCGATATGTTCCATGTTGAGATAGAGATCACTGAATTGCTCATATAAACTAGCTAGATCCAATAAATCCATAGTTTCCTTGTAGTATTCAAGAGCTAGACTCTTCTTTCCTCGTTCGTAATGGGCATTTCCAATATGAGAAAGTATCATTTCATGATACGTATAAACAGATTGAATAGAGTCTAATGATTTTTCATCCCAGGATAAAGCGAATGCATACTCCCCTCTGGCACACTAAATCTGACCCATAAAATCGTAGATACATCTCATATTCAAATCATCATAAACAAACTAATACATAGATTTTTTTCTGTGTGATCAACAATATGTATTAATTAGTTTTGATTGTTATTTGAATTTCAACCGTCATTATCGACTTTAGAGTCGCGCACATGTTTTATAATATTCTATTTTAAGAAATGAATTCACACATTTAAAAACGATCGAATTTTTCATGTATTTCTTTAAAACTAACCGTACGCTACTCTTAAATATTTGAATAATACGGTTTAGTAGTATGCACAAAGTTAAATATTTGTATTCCAGTTGAAAATTCTATCTCAATTAGGTCGTTGATAATCTTGATCTGAATAAATCAACACTTATCTCAAATTATGTTCGATCAACAGCGGAATTGTTTTAGTTCTCTACAAATAATTCATAATCGAAGTATCAACAAATGTAATAGACAAATTTCGGAGAGAGAGAATCACAAATGGTATGACAATAGAGACTCTCTATGTTATAGAGAAAAGTTCTTATTAGAACAAAAATAAGCATGCAAAAGTACACAGTAAAACATGAGAATAGTTAGGTCTATGGGACGGGAGTATAATTTGTCTCCTTGCCAGTTATTTTATGAACGATAAATTTGACTCCACCTAGAGAATAGCCAGGTAACGAGACCCAAAAGGTACGATGTGGAAGAATATCCACGCCACTTGCTTGCCGTTTGAACTTATTGAAAGAAATGAATGCTATGAAATAAATAACAGCAGCCACTAATAATATAATGATAAATATTGTTCCACCACTCAATCCATTGCTCGAATTTCCACTGTGACCACCTATTATGAAAGATAGACTCGTTCATATTATATCATATATGTATGTACCACAAAATCTGTCTCTAACCTTTACAGCCATCCCAACATGCACATTTTGACGATAATGTCATTTCATAAAGTTTTGTGGTCGGATTTAATCCATGCACAACTAACTTGTTCTTCCCTCCTGCGCTCAAGCAATGTAGACTAACCACCAATGTTCTTTCTCCCGTTGTATAATGTAGAGTCGGTAAATCTTTGCCCGGTGCGACTGTCCATTGTAAACTATTTTGTGTGCCCAACGAATAGGCTAATTTTTCATCGGTGGCATATGCTAAATGCAGGTTAACAACGAAAATAAATATGAAAATGGATTGCTAGTGCCTCTTACTTTGACAGGCAGCTACATTTATGCATTCGCTTTGAGTGAACGGACGGCATGGATTGTAAGAGTATACTAGAAAGAGTAGAATTTTTTGTTTTGTGACAGTAGTTAGTACTTATGTTTACAATGTTGATCATCCTTAACAGGTTTCACATTTTTCCAGGCAGGGGTTCCATCCACACGACCAACACCGGTTAAATCGATTATACCTTTTGCATGCAAATCAAAAACACAAGGATCAACCGAAATCAATTGATTTGGTAGATATACCAGCAGTAAATACGAAAACAAAACAAGAGTTTTCTGTGCAGTCATTTTCGTGTAATATTCACACAAGTGAAAGCAAATAATGTTATCTTTATCATTGTCTTTCGTTGCATTTATGCAAACAATATTTTTGCTTTGCTCATGATGTTGTTTGCAGTGTTTGTCACTGATTGAAACTTTATCTGTCATTCTTTATAGAGCATAGTTGTAGATTTCTCTACATGCAATGCGTATATATATATACATATGGAACGTATTACGGCAACTACTTATTTAGAAGGCTATAAACTATATCGTCTCCCATTGTTATCCAATTTTCATATGAATAGAGCGTTTTAACAGTGTTCGACAGCGTCATATCGAAGAATAGTGAAATCTATTATAAAACTAACTTATATCCTACTACTGAACGAGTTAGCTAACCAAATAGGGATTTCATACTATTCATTGAATACTATTCAATGTATTAAAGAAACTCTATGTCTAAGTGCTGTGTTGACTTTCAAAAAAATATATTCACAATGTTTCTTCTCTATAAAGATTCTCAATTCCATATCTAGACTGTGTTTTTTTAAATTCTTTACGCTCGATATTTCTTCTAGGGCTATTCCGTTGAAATAAACTCATTTTTATGTTTCTTATTTGTATCAACAGTTGATTTTATTTGCAACTAATTCATGATTCAGACCTATTCTCTTTCTTCCCATTGGCTGGATAAACCAATGCAAGGCAACTGTATCAATTCAAAAATAAAACACGTGATGGTGTCTTATAGGTAAGTATTTTCATTTTATGTTTCTGCACTCATCATACTTACTTGTTTTCTTTTTATTCTTCTTCCTAGTAAAAGCAACATTTATACTGTGTTCGATTCATTCTATGCCTAAACAACCGAAGTCGATTATTCGGCGCTCGTCATTGGAAGTATTACCAGTGGAGATTCTAAATCGTATTTGCAATGATGTTGATGTCTATTCACTATTGTGTTCTCTTCGTAACACGTGTCGACGTTTAAGAACAGTTATAAAGCAATATGAATACATTAATCTCGATTGTCGATCATTTTCCAAGCGTCACTTCCAACATATTTGTCACGTCATTGATCCAAAAAATGTGCGATCGCTCTCACTCTCTGGCGATTGGGAAAATGGTCGTATAGTCAATTTGTTCGTGACATCCTTTAAAAAGAAAGTATTCACTCGAATTCGCCATGTAACTCTAATCGAAATTCATGAAAATAATTTAAGAAATATTTTGAAACTTCTCAACTTTCTTTCATTGGTTTCATTTTCGCTCAAATTTTCACAATCCGATCGATATTCCAACAATGCATCAGCAACTCTTCTTTCATCAATGTTGACAAGGTCGCATCTTCGTAGACTTGACTTAGATCTTCATCCGGGTCGCATAGAAGAAATTGTCTGGTATGTAAAATCTCCAATTGAATACTTATCTATTGGACCATTGATGAACATAAATGTCATTTGCGACATCCTTCAGCACTGTTCTCGTTTAAGAACATTGATATGCAATTGTGGAACTTCAAATGATTCTAAATTCAGCTTAGACAGGATGATACCTACGAGTAAATTCACCCAATTAACTTTACTAACATTGAACCGTTTGGAATCAGATATCAAGGATCTTGAACTGTTACTTGCATTGGTGCCATCAGTGACCTATCTAAAACTAACTGGCACTGGAAATTATTTGAATGGTAATCGTTGGAAGAACTTCCTGGAAACAAATTTGCCTTTACTAACTCAATTCGAGTTCTTTTTCAATGAGATCCTACATCCGTCTCAAGTGATTCCAGATATCAATTTAATTATTTCGTCGTTTTCGACGAACTTTTGGCTCAAGACAAAGGAATGGTTCGTCACTTGTGAATATAACGTGGAAAATCCTAAGAAAATCTTTCTCTATTCTCTGCCTATATGTGTACTTGATCAAACATATGATTGTGAATCAGTGAATATATCACTTTCGACGAAAATCGAAATAGATGCTAATATTATTCTATAAACATGAAAATATATGCAACGCATCAACATCAACGTTCTTTTTCCAGAAAAATAAATAGCCAAGATAAAATTGTAAATTTCGGATTGTAATGATCAGTTTGTAAGAATTCCTTTTTTACACTAACACGATAGAGGATGCAGATGCATTTATATGTCAAGTGAAACTCTCTTCCTATAAAATGAAAGGCTACTAAAAGAAAAGATGGCTTGCATCTTCATATAGCATCTCGAGACTTTCACTTTCATTCAATACGGATAACTCAAGAATTTCCATGTAGGTCAAGGATTCAAAACAATGGCTCGAATTGTTGGCATTGATGATGTGGTGTGTACTTTGCTTGTTTTAATACGTAGAAATCTTCCTATATGTTTTACCCGATAGTTTAATATATTCCATTTCAAGAATATGATTTTTATCGATGTACATTTTTATTATAGCCTTGTTGTTATTTAACATAATTATGATACTAGATTAAAATTGTTGTTATACGTATTCAATGCTTAATTTTATTATATCATATGTTCTTTTAGGAATAGATTGTGAAACCTCGAAAGTGTGATGTCACCGGAAGAACTGATTAATAAAATATGACTGATGAGCAAATAAATTAAGAATCGAAGACATTATATATGAGTATAATTATGAATGCTTAGTCAACTCTTTTCTAATTGATCAGTAAGAAGTAGTTGTTTTCTGTGCTACTCTCTCATCGTCGTATGGGGCTGAATTTGACGGAAGCATAAATTGTAACACTGATGAGAATATGATAAAAACAAAGTGACTTGTTTATTCTTATAAGGAAAACCTGAAAGAATAGTAAAACATATTATTTGTTGATTCGTTTATTATTAATATCACGATCAAGCCGAAGATAAAAGCACAGAACGTGAAAGTAAATTTTCAATATAGATTTGTTGTTCAATTAATTGAGTTTTGTTTCGTTGCTTAGCTGATTCAACAATGTCTTCAAATGCTTTTCTAATTTCTTGACAATCGATCGATGAGTCAAGTTCATCTAATGTTATTTGACAATTTTTTAAATACTTATCTTCATTTTTATTATCAAGCATATTTTGTACCCATAATTTTAAATACTCAATAAATCGATGGCATAAATTTAATATCATTTCATCATCATCAATCCAATGAACTCGTTTACCGTTACTACGTGGCGTTGTTACATCTGTTCGTGTTATTTCACCGACACCAAAATTATATGGATGTGGTGCATCAGAGACTCTTGAAGACACGTCTAAAAGTAAAATGTTCAATAAGAATTTTAGGGATAAGAAAAACAGAAACAACAAACTTGTTCTATGTTCATTGGATTTCGTTCGCTTTAAAAATTTAGTTATTGTTCGTCGCCATGTACTATTCGATCGTGATACTGATGAAGAGTGATGCCGTGACAGGCGAGTATTATGATTATGATTAGTTTTATCATCAAGATTGGTTTGTAGTGTAGGTGATGACCAAGTAATCATTCCGTTTGTATGATTTTCTTCTGACACTCTCGCAGGCCATAAAGAATTATCAGCAAATGGTGTAGGTGGTCGAATAGGAAAATTAAGTGACCCATAATAACAATTGGGTACTGTTAAATCTATAGAAAATGTTACCTTGTATAAAATCAGTTTTTAAATATTAACACGTCCCTGTAGTTCAAATAAATGAAAGAATCTTATTATTTTCTTTCTAGTATTATCTTTTCAATTGAAAACGTTTAGTTGTATTCAATCAAAATTCCTTAGGAAAAATGTAAATATATCAAACGCAGCAATGAAATAAAAATTCGTTATTTTTTTCTGAAGTGTTTTTGTTCTATGACATAAAACCGTTTTAGCGAGTGAATTCTCTTCCATCGCTATTTCTTTTCTAGGCATCATCGAAAAAGATTTGTAACATAAGACTTTCAAAAAATCCAACATATCTAATTTACTCATAAAATATTGATTTTATGAAAAGAAAAAAAAACAAAATTTTGCTTTGACTGCTACTTAAGTCGGTTGAAGTATTTGCATTTTTTTCAGTACATTCGTTTTCAATGAGGCTGAAATTTTTTGAATAAACCAAAAATTACAGTTGCATCTATGACCTAAATATGATATTAAACGGCAATGGAACTAAGAAATTATCGAAAAAAAACATAAGCTGTGCCTTTTATTTAGCCTCAAGCATTATGTATAGATTTTAGTCTTTTTTTTTCCTTTTTCTATTTAATTTCTTCTCTATGTACATATTTACTTGTTGAGGCTATTCAATATAGGGAATAGTTAAGTTGCAGTTTATTGAGATGTCTATTACTATCTCTTGAAATATTAAATTAGAGTTTTTATTGAAATCTAATTCAAATAAATCATTATTAGATTTTGTTTTCGAAATAACTATTTAAAAGTTTTGATTCTTTATGCCAATAAAGTGAATTAATAAAATGAGCATCACTGTTTCGCGAAAATAAAAGTTACTTTTTCGTTTTCAATTTACAAATGCAGTCAATAGAAAAGAAAACGAAAGTCGCTTTCGAGTCTTTATAACAAAAAGAAAAATTTACATACCTATTACATCAGGTTCGTGATCATCATCAATTCTTGTTGGTATCATTTTTCTTTTATAAAATTTAAAGAAATGAAACAAGACTGAATGAATTTATGTAAATATATATATATATATATATAAGTGTGTATACCCACAGACATTCGATCATAGAATAACAAATGGTTACCTGTATGTGTTGTATTGATCACGGTTCGACAGAGAACAGGTTAAAACGATAGTGTTAACGAGAACGATGAAGGTGAAGAGATGTCAAATTTTAAATATTTTTTTTTATTCATTTTTATTAACAATTGAAAATGCACTTTGTGGTTTTAAAAAAAAATATCTTGCGTATATTGAAATATAAATCGTAAAGAATGTTCGGATAGAATTTAGTGGAAAACCGATGACTCGTTGTTCTTCCGTCTTATCGTTTCATTAAATTAAAAATTTGCTGATTTTCGAAAAATAAGCTGTTTTATTTCACTGAGGTTTGCGCTAGTATGGTCTTCATAGTCACTATGCTAAACGCATCGTCCTTTTTCATTTTATCAATCACTACTATGTGCGTAAATTCAAAAACAAGTGAATAATATTTGTATTACGCCACTCGCACCACCTTGCTCGCACAAGTGTCGGAGTAGAGAAGCTCAAGGTCTGCATACATTCAGCTCAAGTGTTTTTCTTGCATTTTTGATGATAATAGAATTATCATTGTTTCGTTGAGTTGATTCACTTTAAAATAAGATTTTTTCAATCAAATGTTTTAATCGTTCAGAAAAATTATGTTGATAAAGCGGAAAGATACGAGCTGAAATCAACAACTTCAAAGAAAATAGATAAAATATTCTATCAATAGAAATTTATTCTATTTCAATATTTGACGGTAAAGTTCAGTACAAAACAGAAGCGATCATATGGAAGTAACTGCTGTAATATGAATGTGTAGTTATTCATTCAAGTATAACACAATAAATTAATTTTTCAATTAAAAAAAAACAAACCTACAATATGTTTTAGAAAAATACAAATTATCTATTAGCATAATAATGATTGCTATTGCATTCTATCACAAAAGATGCATGCATTGCAGAGCTGGACAAGTACGGACTTTTTCGAGTACGAGTACGAGTACATGATATGAGAATGTGTTTGTCGCGAACTTATTAGAGAAAATTTAATTGGTAGTGTTAGAGATTACGTATCAATTGTGAGATCAAGAAATAGTCTTAGTCGTGAGTCAATATTTTTAAATTACGTTTATCATCAAGTTTCAAAAAAAAACTACAACAAAACTTGATTACATTTAAGAAATGTAAGCAAACATACATTTTTTGAAGTTAACGATGCGCGATGTGGGCGCATTACAAAACCACTTTGAGAAAATATTCTTTCAATAGGAGTTGATGTAGCCGGCACTGATAAGTATTTCAGACCCAGTCCATATAAAGAAGGATAAATATTTATCTGAATGATTCATTCAGAATACAATATATATATATAAATATAAAAGGAAAGAAAGAAATCAACTGTTCTTTCTTGAAAAAATCCACATTATGATTTTATCAAGCATCATTTTGATATAATTATTGTTGGTGTAGGACTTCGAGTACTTCACCCTCGAGTACGAGTACCAACCCTTCGAGTACGAGTACGAGTACTTCGAGTATTTCATCCAGCTCTGATGCATTGGTGCGATAGTTTTCCTTGGTGATGCTAATAACAGGTAACGATAAAATACCAGAATTTGTTTTGTTATTAATTCCTTCCTATATCCACGAAGCTAAATAAATCATTATCAATAGTAATGCACACATCGAAGTAGTAATGAACGTGTTGATTTCGTTGGTGATTTATGATCTATCGCCCTGAATACTAGTTATATCATGATATATAACAGCTTGATCAGCTTATAATGCTGGAATACAAATATCAGGCAGAAGAAAATATTTTACTTCATATTCTAACGAAAAAATAATCAGTTGACCTGATTATGAACTTCTCTTCAATTTTTAATACGATAATTATCAGTACTGTGAATGAGAAAGATAACATTTTGAGTACAGTATTGTTATGCCTAGACATGTGCAAAACTAGTCGCAAGATCAGACTCAGGACCACGAGGAAGAGAACGATGTTTCCATACTCCGAAATACAGGTGAAATCGGAGGAGGGAGAGTACAGTGCGATAGGTTTGATCGCGAGGAGAAGAATTATCTATCATGAATTCGTACATTCTATTATTGCTTTTTTTGCCGCTTAGTTTATTTTTTTTAATATCTTTTTATATACAAATAAAAATCTTTTCATCACATTGGATCAGGACTAGCAGCACTGTCACTAATAATTATAACACTTGCTGTTGATGTATGTTGATCAATAAATGATTTGATGTGTGAACTCACTCGTTGGCCTAATAATTCATTCTAAATAGAAATTTAAAATTTAAGACTTAGCAAAAACTGAATCTTGAATATTTTCAAATTTCGGTCTACTGATAAAAAAAAGATTTCTTAGGCAATATTATTTAATCGAAACTGTCAAATGAATAATTATGTCCCATGCACCTCGTCCGATTTTTATCTTGTACGTACGTTAAGTGTCCAAGCAATATCAACATCGCCATTTGTTTCAATCGATACACGCAATTGTTGATTATCAATATGTATAAGATTGTCCGATATAAGTATAATACGATGTTTTGATTCATTTTCATTACTATTCAATTCACGTTCAAGTAGTTGAATCAAAGAGACTAGTGTAATAGGTCGAATATTGATCGAAGATGGAAAACGTGAATGAAATTGAACCGTATGATGAACAAGACCCAATTCATTCATCGCTGTCGATGGTCGAACAAGACGAAGACGCTGAAAATATGAACGAATTTCACTTTATCAAAGTATTACATAAATCATCTAAACGACTTACACCATCTTTAATTATTAATGTGCCGCGCATTTGTTTTGATCGTTTTTCAGATCGACTCACATCAGCAGTTTCTTCTAAAAATAAATCATATTGACAACTATGATAAGCAAAACTCATTTGAAATAGATGATTTTACCTTTCAATTGTTGAACAAGTCCTGGCTCAATATCAACTGGTACACCATGAGGAGTTGAAATGGTTACTGTTTCACCATTAGCTGGTTTATAACAAGGAATTTCTATATATACGAATGTTTTTGAATGTGAAAAAGAAAATTTTCTCTTAGATTTACTTAGTTCATCTTGAACTCGTCCACGAAGAAAATCCATGACTAGATCTTCGCCATGAACTAAAACAACATTACTTGGTTGACACTGACGAATAATTTGTGTTATGCCTTTAGCATCGGCATGAGCTGAAAACGACATATAGTGAACTTGCATTTTCGCTTCAATTTCTTTTCCATCAAATAAAAAACGTCGTTGACCAAGTAATAATTTCGAACCGACCGTATTAGCAACACAATATCCAGGAATAATAATCTATAGATATACAATAGTAAAACGATGAATGAAAATAAAACAAACCATATTCTTTTCATCGGGTGCCCATTTTTTAAATAAATGAAGTGAATAACCAGCATGAAGCATTCCAGGTGAAGCAAAGACAATCATGGCACCTGGTTGCTCTACATAGGATCGATCCCATGGCTAAAAAAGTATAAATATTCATTTACCAAAGAAAATAACCTGTGCCGAATATTTTTCAAAAGATTCTACAGCCAAGCTCATTAAGAATCAAAAGAGGAATTTCTCAATCATTGAACTTTCTATTGTTATTAAAATAGCTTACTTTGATGTGTTTGAAATCGAAAATATTCTTTTGATGAAATGTTGATTGAATTTTTTCATTAGTCCATGAAACAAATAATGAATAATATGTATTCACTTTTTCCGAAAGTCCCGATGCAAAATAAATCGGTACATTCAAATTCATTCGTTCTAAATATGTTTCTAATAAAATACATAATTCTTGAGCGCGACCTACAGCAAAGACAGGCACAAGAACTTTGCCACCATGTCTAACACAATCAACAACTTTAGCCATAAAATCACGTTCACGTGCACGCCGTGAATCGCGTACAGTTGAACCATACGTTGATTCCGTGATCAATACATCCGGTCGGCATCGATCGATATGCGCCGAACCAAGATGACGATCCGCCGTTGTATTAAAATCACCGGTATAAACAAGAGTTTGTTGACCAACACGAATATGAAACATAGCTGCACCCAATACATGTCCAGCATAATATGCTTTTATCTCAAAATCGGTATCTACCTATGAAGGAGAGAATGAAAGCAAAATGAATTATTTTATACAAGATTTTACTTTGACAGTTTGTCCTAAACTAACAGGAATTACTTTCTTCATACAATTTTTGATATCGTCCGATGTGTATGGGCCTTGTTGTGTTGTCTTATCTGTTGTTACTTTTCGAAAATCTTCCTATAGATACAACATAGAATTAATTATCATCAAGCATAATGAGCAGACTTACTAGAAGTAGTGGACAAATAGCTTTCGTTGGATAAGTCATATACAATGGACCATTATAACCAACGACTTCAGTCATATAAGGCAATGCTCCACAATGATCCAAATGGAAATGACTAAACAGGTTCAAATAAGAAAATATTGAAACAAACATAAAAGATTATTTCAATACCTTATGATAACACAATGAATGTAGGGTGTCAATGGACCATCTTTACATATGACAGAAAAATCTGGAAATCGTCGCTAGAAAAATAAAGTAAATAAAATTTAAGAATAAATAGATAAGTTTCTCACATCATCGTAAAACCCCATATGAAGACCACAATCAAGCATAATATTTTTACCACCCATGGTAATAAGTATACAACTACGTCCAACATCTTGACCAGCTCCTAATGGTAAAATACGAATATCAGACATCTAAAATTATTAAAATTCACAATATTTTATTTCAAATGGTTATCAATCAGTCTGTCCATATATTTTCTTGACATTTTGAATATGATAATGATCAGAAATGCAATCTTTCAAATAGTCTTCCGTTGTCATATCATAGTGAGAATTGTCACATCTATGAAATACTTCTGAGAAAACATTACCGTTGAACAACATAAACTTGTTACATATAATTTCTAGGAATTTATTTGTCCCCTTAAAAATTCTCAACGTGCCGTTATGTCATTCAAACACAAGATCCATAATATCGTATGGGAAGGATCATGAAAAACAGGCTAGAATCTATTTATTTAAGGGATTTCAAAAAAAAAGAATAAACAAAATTGAAAAGAGGCAAGATAAGTATGTATGTATGAGTCTACATATTCCAAAGGTTTCGGAGTTTGACCAATGTAGGACGTTCATCGATGGCTTCAACACCCTAAAACAAAAAAACTTTTTACTTTTTTTAAATTCATCTTCGAAATTCGAATATACATACACGAGGGTAATACTCATTTCCTGTTATTCGCCGATCTCTTAAATACATATAATAATCTCGATCATCTTTCATCATATTTTTTGGTCCATATTTCTAATCAAAGAAAAAACAATAAATCACAAATAAACATAAAAAATGTCGAATTTACTTTTCCATTGAGAAAAAACCAATTGCCTATGTAGATAGTAGGCGCTGCAATGAGAAGAAGTGGACCTGCCGTAAGAACAAGCGATGGAATAATTTCAAACCAAACCATCGTTATCTAGAAAAGAGTCAGAAGACATTGAATCACAGTATAAGATGATATGTTAATGACTAGAAACAATATAGATGATACAAGAGAATTTTCTTTCTATACAAGATATGATGTTATAAAATAACTTACTTGAATTACATGAATACATTTTCAAGTAAGGAAAATGTCAAAAATACAAAAAAAATGGCACGCATTATCTGACTAAATATGGTTACAGTTTCATGAATATCAACGAATCTTTACTGAGCAATATGAAATTTTAAATTAATATTGTCACTCTAAGTGAAGTAATGTTATCAAATTTTAATATCAATTTTGTCGATAGAATGAGTAGATAAATTCGTCAATAAAACTAATGTTTTTGATTAAGCAGTTATTACATCAAAATATTGAAAATAAATGAACCATGTATCAGTGAATAGAATATAATATTTAGTCATCTATAGAATTAGATAATCTACTATTAGACTATATGTATCTGACAAATGATGAATGGATTAAAACTAGAAGTATGGATGTTTTAAACACAGAAGAAGAAAAAAGAAGAAAAGAAAATAAACTAGATTAGAAAAGTCTTGGTCGTTTATCAGTACTGGTTGAACTATGATTAGGTGAAGGTAGAGTTCGTTTGAGTGATGATGATGGTGATGAAAACAACTGTTTTATAACGCCACTAGCCTTTCGTGGTGTTATTGGTGGTTGTTGTTCATCTTCAGATATTGTATTAGATGTTTTCTGTTTAGGAGAATCAATAAATAGACGACGTCGACCCTCTTAAAATAAATAGAATTCAAATTGTTTGGTATTACTCTGTTTTGAAATATCAGTAATTTTTGATAGCATACTTTCATGTGACTGTGATGATGAAAAAGGTTTCGATAAAATTGGTTGAGATGATGATAGTATTTCATTTGATTTAGGTGAATACTTTTGTGCTTCTCGTACAAAACGTCTTAAAACATAATTACAGCGAGATACACGATTGACTACTTGAGAAAGATGAAGAGTAGTTGGTTTATTTGATTGATTATCGAGAACGGGAACATTGTATACTTATAAAAGAAAAATAGAACCAATAAATAATAGTTTCTTTTCATAATTACAAAACCTTTTCTTTTCATATACGTACAAGGAGTTGTAGAGCGAAGACGTAGAGAAAGTCGTTGAATTTCACGTGCCATTATATCTGCTGGCAACATATCACTTGTCTCGTCTTCTTCTTTGACTGGAGTTTCTTCTACGAATTCATTTTCTTCCTTTATTGCTTGTGATGATAACGCCGTATTTGAAGCATCGATATCAAACGAAAGCTTTTTTATTGGAATTATTTTCACAGGTGTATTTTCTACATTTGCTAATGATGGACTAAGAAGGGGGGAAAAGTATCGCACTATTACTTGAACCATTCAATGTTAAACTAGTTTTACCTTGTCACTGGTAATGGTTTAAAACTCATGGTTCGACTAAAAGTTGTCGTAGTCGACGTTTTAACATTGATCATTTTACGGTTTTTTGTTAATTCCTGTTGTAGTGAAGAAACATTTCGTTGAGAATACGAGCGTCGAGATTTAGACGATGAAGCTGATGCTCGATCCGAAACTAAGTCGAATTTCAATCGATCAGTCATCTCTGCCTTGAAATTTACTGAAGTAGACTTATATATTTACAGATGTTTCTTCAACGTAAAACAATTACATTGAGTAACAATAATGGAATAACGTATTTCATGCCAGTTCATCCATCCATTCGGTATGGTTAGTAACAAATCAAATCAATGTAAAATCAGATGTCGCCCCAAAAGAAGTGCTGACAGAGAGAGACATCACATATTCATGAATGATATCAAGCCCATCTGTTGAAGTACCAAGTGCACATATATTCATTGATATGAATATCCCAGGTGAATGAATCCGACAGTGAGTCCTATCGGATCTTATAGGGTACGACAAGCCGACAAAATCTGATCAGATTCCTGACCACGGATCTACTAACGGGTCCGACGGAAAAAAACATTTCTTTAATCACCAATGAATAAGCATACGGTGCCAACAAAACACATGGGTCGAATGCTTATGTTGGATTTCGTTAAATTACGATGCTGGAACCTATCGGATTCAAACACTAGGGCTCCGATTGTAGGTCCCACACTCGTATACCGATAGGATTTCGTCGATTTAATGAAATCCATACTATATCCGATAAAATTCAGACACGAATCCGATAGGATCCCACTATCGGAATCATTTTCATGGGTAGGCAATAGAACAAAAAAAATAGTCATCGATAATAATGAATATCAATGGCATACGAAATGTGCCTTTAAAGCTTATTCATATATCTATTTGTAGGAAGAACATATTAGTTATTCTTTTCTGTGCTGCAGTATACATGCCATGTGACTTCATAAGTCACGAAGGAAAATAAATAAAAGCCCAGGTCGTGGACGTACGGCGGGAAACGGCCGGAAAGCGCTGGAAAGTGGAAGCAGTATTCCAGTTGGAAGTTACCGGATTTTCTTCCTGTAGATTCCGATCAACTTCCAGATGTAAAACACAGAAAACTGACCGGAAAACACAGGAAACTGACCGGAATCCACAGGAAAAAATCCGGTAACTTCCAACTGGAATACTGCTTCCAGTTTCCAGCGCTTTCCCGTGCTTTCCGGCCAGATACGGTGATTTTTCCGCATCTTTTCGGCCGGTTCCTACAGTATCCGCCCTCCGGAATCATTGACCTGGAAGCGATAATAAAATTTCTCATCGTTATATTTAATTCATTGAAATACATATGTAAGAACGTATAAATTAATTTGCTTTATTTTTAATATTATCTCCTTCGAATAAATGGTATCTTAGATCTTCGTAACAAACTTGGAAAAGCAATCAGAAGAATAGCCCAAAAACATTAGCCACGACACATGAAAGAGGGCATGCATCGAACATTATAATTAGGAGAGTGTAATGATCTCCGTTAAACATATTTATGAAATGTGCAAATCCTCTACGAATACTGTGTTTCATCACATCACATTGCTATTCAGTTCAAGAAAAATTATTTTTTATTGGCAAGTTTGAATTCACCGAAAGTTCATCACATGTATGCCAGCAAAAAAAGTATATACGTACGTTCATGTTAATCTAATATTTGTGTATGCACGCTTGGTATCATGCTCAAACATGTTATAAGACACCCAATTTTATCGATTATTATGCTCATTTCACTGTCACTTCTGATTCTGATTTTCAAGTTGAAATTACGTACTATCAAACACAATATCACTGCATAAAGCAAACTATCTGCACTCAAGGAGGATGTAATGTTTACAAACATGTTGTCAATGTCGACACAATGATATATAGAGTGCAATTCATTTTTTTTTAAATTAGATGTTTCATGATGAAGCTTGCCTAGGTAAGACTTAGTAAATAGACTTCTACTTGACTTGTCGAAAGGTCTACAAAGAAGGATAACCACCAATTTTCTTTTTGTAGCCTCCTGATGATTTTTGTGTCGTTTTGATTTGTTGAACACTGAAGCACTACTATGTAGCTTTGATGAACATAAACGTATTATGATATCAGGAAAGAAAGTTCCTTCAAAGCATAACTTGTTTTCGAGACGTTGAATAAAACTTAAAATGCCTCTAATTCGTTACATTAATAACATAACAGGAACGAACATCTTGAGTTAAAACAGAGAGGTTGGCAAATAATAGTGGTAAATAGAAATATTACAGAAACTCTTATATACACATATATAAGCTTTAACAATATCGATATGTTTTAGAATCAATATTGCCTTTCTTAGAGACCAATAAATGGCAAAATACTATCAGAACCATCTCAGGTCGAACAGTTCGGCCTGGAAACGGTCGGTTTCGAGTAGTTCCGTTGACTTTGTGAAAGCAGTATTCCGGTTGAAAAATTTTCCGTTTTTTGCCGGTGACTTCCGATCAATTCCTGACAGAAAGCACCAGAACTTGGCAGAAGTCCCCCGGAAAAGCCCGGTCGTATTTTTGACCGGAATACTGCTTCCATGTTCCAGCGATTTCCCGTATTTTCCTGCAGGATATGGTGAGTTTCCCACATATTTTCTGGAGTATCCTACGGGATCCGGTGGCCAAAATGTTCGACCTGAGATACACTGTTCATGTAATACTTCACTCATTGATAAAGTATGAAGAGTGATGCGCATTGCTACAAGTACAGTCATAATCAATTATTGTTTTGAGTGCGACAACGAAATATTTTTACAACTTTTTCTATCATAGATATTTTCTATTCTTCTAGTTAGTGTGTTCAGACTGTACAAGCAATAAAAAGTATGATCAAAAATATTAGCTTGATTAACGTAACCGCTATATTGTATCCCGAACCTTGGTAATAGAAGAAAAAGAAGCGATACAGCCATCACCTATTAGACTGATGATTTCCAATTATCTGATCTTCAAATTCGTTAATAGAAAATGTTACAAATTATTAATGCAAGACTAGACGTGTATTATATGACAACTTTACAATACTGCTAAAAATCAATTAGACTGCTAATTTACAGCCAGTCCGAGTGTCAAAATCTGAATTATAAGCATATTTAAGTGATTTCCTTATTTACTTTTTTTGTGTTCAAAACATTCATTTTATCATTTTCATGTCATCTTTTGTTCGGGTTGATGGATGTAGGTAATCCGTATTTTTGCTGTAACTGTGTCGAATACAGTCTGTTAACACACATGGCGTAAACGGTTATATACTGAGTGTATCATTCAACTTTGATAATCTCTTCGAATGCGTCCACTGTTTAACTTTTTTATGATTGAAATCGAGAGTGAAAAAATGTTAGTTAAAAATGTGATACTGTTTAATAAAATTTCACATGAGAATATAATTTCTATTCTTCTTTTTTTGTGCAGTTTTACTCTAAATTTTAGATTGCGTTTTTTACTAAAATTTTGACTCATTAAAGATAGCAATCAACCATCTATTTATTAAATTACACTCTTTATATCTGTATAACTCATCTTGTGATTGATACTAATATGTTATTCTCAATACAAAATGAAATAATCGCAGTAACGCAAAAATAGCCGGCACATATCGAACGAAGTTCACAAACTGTATCATTTTTACGAAAAGAAGTTACATAAGAATTCAATGTTTTCTATATTTAAAAGTATGAATAAATGTTTTGAAATTTGTTATCTTCATTAAAAAAAAAATTCTATGAATCGAATTAAATTAAAATTTAAGATATAGTTGTGAAAATGCCTTTTAATGTTAGTTAATGAGTTGTTTCCGTAAACCAGCAGGTGGAGCTCCTTTTAAACTCGGCCGAATCATAACATAATCAGTTAGCCAAGCTGGCATTGTTGATAGTGGAAACATGATGAAACTAGATTGCCATCCTGGCCGGTAACGAATTTGTGGAGCTGTATTCATAACGCCATGCTTAAGTGCTTGTACTACTTTGGCAGGATTTTCGGCGTATCTCATGAATAAATTATTTGCAGCTTCATGAGCATGTTCCTTGAGAACATCTTCACCCCATCGCTCTTTGACATCGCCTGCTAATCCTTCCCATAATTTACGTATTCCTGTATCATGTCCCTCAACGATATTTGTACGCATAAAGCCTGGTTCAATAATACTGACACGTAAATTCCATACAGCCATTTCACGACGAAGACAATCAGAAAATGATTCGAGAGCATATTTTGATGCTGCATAAGCTGACATGCCTGGTTTAGTTAAATAACCAGCCACAGAACAAATATTAATAACACGTGAATCTTGTTTGGCAATCAGTAATGGTAAAAACTTTTTAGTCATCGCAACATGCCCAAAAAAATTTACATCCATCACTTTACGTATAAATTCTACTGATGTCCAATCAATCAATCCAGCGGCACCTATACCGGCATTATTAACAAGGCCATGAAGTACTTTTGTTTTAGCACTAATCATTTCATACGCAGAATCAATATCTTCTTGTCGAGTAATATCTAATTTAAAAACAGTTGCTCGTGATGATAGAATTTTTACTAGTGAATCTTGATTATTTGGATTATAAATACCAGCTAATATATTGAAACCTTGTTGGTCTAATTCAATTGCTAATCCATTACCAAAACCAGTATCACAACCACTAATCAATACATATTTACCATTAGGATTTATATCTGGTGCTGGATTTAAACGTTGATAGACTCGATAAAATACATAAGCGAGTATTATTAAACCAAGGAACATACACATCATTTTTCTTTTAAATTATTTATTTAGACACAATATAAGGGACGGGACAAAATCAGGGGTTCGCGTTTCAATGATAAGGACAAAAAACGCGAGAATAGCATACCGACTTTTATTTTATATTCGTTTTTTTACTGGTATTTTTCTTTTGGATTCTACTCCTTTCTATTTACTTTGTGATAAATATTTGACACGGTAAACTGAGTGAGTAAAGTATTGTTCGTATTTTGTCATCCTTTTGAAAAACAAAATGGAGCCCATAAAATTCTCAAACTGAAAAATTTACAATGATAAAATAAATTCTATGCTCTCTCTCTCTCTCTTGTCATAAATGTTTTGATGAATAAGTTTAAAATACATCAAAATTAATTCTTGTTAAATAACCAGAAATCCATGGAACTTTTAAATGTTCAAATGGTATTTTTGTTACTTATTTTATTTTGTAGGGAAAAGTTTGATTTGTTTCTTTTTCTCTTCTACGTACTGTATAGTTAGAGGAAAGTTTCCGTCTTCAATGGGCGTCATTTTAAGTAAAATTTCATAGCAAAATTTGTGTGACAACATTGCAGTTAAAATACAATATGAAATCGATTAGATATAATATTATTAAATATGCTATTACGAATAGGAAAAAAGACATTGTCACAAATTGAATATTCATTGTTTAAACATGTTGCGTAGTCTATACAAATCTGACTCTGATTGCTAAACTATGGCATCGAGAGTATGTTGAAATCCGAGAAATATATGTTCTAAGGATGTTAATTGTACTGTATAATTCGATGCAATAATATTTTGTGCAACCAGATCTTCTAATATTTTGAAAAGATTTGATAACTGATTTTTTGGATAAGTATATTCATTAGTATTATCAACACGTTGCAATAGTGGTATATTAAATGCCGATTGAAGTAGTGTTAATCTTATGCGATAATCATTACCATATTTATTTTTCAGATGTCTAGGTGAACCTAAACATCTTGCATTGCCACGAACAAGAATCGTGAGACGATCGCATAATTGTTCACATTCAAGCATTGAATGCGAAGCAAATACAATAGATGTATCAACTGGCCGATTTTGTAATATAAGCCGAATATGACTACGTATCAACGGGTCAACTTTAGCTGTTGGTTCATCAAGTAAGAGAAGTGTAGGAGAACCAATAAGACATAAAGCTAAATGAAGACGACGACGAGTTCCACCGCTTAAATGTGATATTAAACGATGGCGATATTTTTCAAGTTGAAATTGAGATAAAAGTAAATTATTTATTGATGATGGATTAAGACCATGAATACGACATATATAATCGATGGATTTTAGAACAGTTAACGCTGAAAAAGTAATATCATCTTGTGGACAATAACCAATTAAATCTTTATTATTCTTATAGATATGTCCATGCGAAGGTTGTAATTCTCCGACTAACATTCGAAAAGTTGTTGTTTTACCTATATCGGATAAATGAAAAATATCATCTATGTGTTATTTTAAGATAAAATTCTAATCTGACTCGTTGCAAGTCGAAACCAAAACTTCTGATTTCTTAACTCGTAATTCTTTACTAAAAGAAAAGATAGCTAAGTATTCTTTTTCTTTAATTCGAAATCATCGAATCTTCAATTATGAAGCTCGATTTCGAATTTACCTTAATGATTCAACGCTTCGCTATTCTCGATATGAGTCATCCTACACTAGATGATTACTAAATGTTTCTTTTGCTCAGACAATACTCTAATCAGATAGATCGTAATTTTCGATAATAGAAAACCATTTCTCAAACTAGATCAAACTCGATTTTCTTTTCAATTATTTGAAACATACCACTTCCATTGAATCCTAAAAGTCCAAAACATTCTCGATGCGGTACAGCAAATGTTAATCGATTAACAGCTGGGTTTATAGAGCAATGGTAATATTTAGAAATATTATCGATAATAACAGCTTCATTTTGTTTTTCTTCATGATTCATTGTTTCTATTCGTTGTCTTTCAGTTGTAACATCATTATCTTCTTCTTGTTGATTGATTGCGCTTTGTGTACAAAAACCGAATATTGGTAATTTCCATGTATCAATAAAAATTAGTAGAATAAAATAGAATATAAATTGACCAATTAATATTAATATATGAATAAGTAATTTATGTGGGTAGTGTTCATTTGAAAAATGTTGATTGTCCAAAGGTGAATCATCAATTGAGCATGAATATGGCCGAAGGATAGTTACCATTAATGTAAATACATTAATATTAGGAAAAATAATTACGAGTGCCCATTTTAAAAAATGTATAATTGCAGTAATAGCATGACGACCACGAAAAAACTCGATAATTACTCTAAACGTATAGAAAAAATGAGTAAATTGAAGAATTAATACAATTATCGTAGCCCCTAATATTGGTGACTTGAAAAGTTTAGCTATCAAGTAAATAAAAGGAAGATCACCAATGAAAAGCAATGGTGCCAATGCGAAGAATCGACCATTAAATGTTGATGAATGAACAAAACGTTCAATCAGAATAAGAATAAGAGTCCATATGAGACACAGAACAAGATCACTAAGAAATACGATGGTCCAATGTATTGATGAACGAAGACCATGAATCAATGAATATGAATGAAACCCTAATGAATGATCTTGAATAATTAATGCAGCACAAATAAGTAAGATCGTTGAAAGAAGAAGAATTGCTAGATGAAGTCTCGGTGGTAATGTATAGAAACAATAATAAGTTGAATCCTGGTCCAACAGCGAAAAATTAGGCAATGAAAATGAAAAATCAGCTTCGTTATTAGGAATTAATTTGAATGGAATAAGTGTATAATTATAAAACGATATGTATACGGGAAGACATGATGTAATTACATTGTATAAGAATGGCGATGGAACATAGCATTCAAGATGATTAAGCGATGATATTCGAAGACCAACGAGTGTTTTATAACGATGATTGTCTGATTGCCATGTTCTTAATCCTATAAAAATGAAGATTGAATCATTTTTATTTATATTTTCGTATTAAAAAAATCAGTTAAAGCAAGTCATGAGAAATCGCCATAAAAAATAGTGCAGCTATTGTCTTGATTATTTCTTTACTTAATATTCCAAAACTACAATAGATTCTGCAAACATAAGACTATTGCAGTTAGAACCAATTGAATTAATCTAGACGGAAGTATTATCAAACTACACACACACGTACACAAACACAGACCAATACTCCTCTTTTGTAAATCGGTGACTGTTGTACTCACCAGATAGATACCGTTCAAAATGTTGTGCTGAATAAAGTGATGGAGTAAATTTTGCATCAAGTTTTTTCAATGGTAATTTTTTGATTAAAGCAGGACTTGATGAAATAATATAACGAATATGTTCTGCAGTTGATGCAGGCGTTGAACTCGAGGATGGCATATATAATGGTGAAAAAGCATAAAGTACATAGAAAAGTAATATAATTGGTAATAAACGAGCTCGTTTTAATAAAACATTGCCTCGGCGAATTAATACACCGATAGCTTGTTGAGACCATAGATAACTTTTATTAGTACTTGTTCGTGCATCGAATAGTGTATTTATTGATGATTTAACAGTGCTTTCTTCTAAATACAGAAAATAATTCTTCCCTAAATGCTTCAATCAAGATCTGAAAAAACAATTTTTTTCGACTCTGATCAGACATAGTGTTTCTGTGTAAACTTTAGTTTCGTCATTTCGTTAGGATAAGGTGGCTTATTTTTAGAGCTCACAGAGAACGGATTCAATTTTTTTTCTTTCTTACCTGATGATAATCCTTCTGTTGATGAAGTTAATTTCAAAAATATTTCATCAAGTGTTACATTTTCTAACGAATATTTAATACTATCTTGTTCTAATTTTTCAAGTAAAGATATTAATTGTTGTCGATTAGGAACTTGTATAAATTGACTTTTTTTATCAATAATCCATTCTGTTGGTATATATGTTGGTATTTTATCCAAATGAAGACGATCACCTGGTGGACCGAATTGTTGTTTTAATTCAAGAACTGTACCTTGTGCACGAATTTTGCCCGCATCGAGAATAATAATTGAATCGCAAAGTTCTTCAACTTCATCTAACAAATGTGAAGAAATCAATAATGTACGATTCATTTTGTTTTCTCGAAGCCATGACCAAAGTACTCGACGAGCTGCTGGATCGAGTGATGATGATGGTTCATCTAGAAAAACAAAATTGCTTCATTCAAGTCTATTAAAAACATATCGTTCTTACCCAAAATTATAACATTAGCTTGCCCAACAAATGCACATAGAATAGATAATTTTCTTTGCATACCACCTGATAATGCATGACATAATCGATGACTATATTGATTCATGTCCATCATAGTAAGTAATTCTTTAATTTGATTATAATCAACATTATTTCCTTTTGATCGAACACGAGCATAGAATTCCAATTGTTCTCGAACAGTTAAATGTGAAAAAAGCATATCCTGCTGTGGACAATAACCAATACATTGTTTCAGCTCATCTAAATTTTCATGTAAATCTTTATTATGAATTTCAATGGTACCACAATTGCATGATAGTAGACCACACATCATTTCCATTGTTGATGTTTTGCCTGCACCATTATGACCAATAAGACCATGAATAATAGATTTTTCAAGTTTAAATGATATGTGATCAACGGCTAGTTGTTGTTCAGTATTGAAACGACCATAAGTTTTCGTTAAATTATTTATTCGAACTGTCGTATTTACATCCGGTAATGTTTCTACCATTTGCATGTCAATACTTTGACGTTGTTTGCTAGTTCTAAATCGATTATTAAAAAAATAATCTAACGGCCATGACCATGGACGTGGAATACCATATTTACCAGGTCGAACTTGTTCAAAATAATATGCTAGAAGCCACATAAGAAGACTACCGAGTAACATATAAAACCAAATGAATATGACTTCACTGGTTAGATGCGCACGACCTAAATCATTGTTGATACGAAAGAGAATAATCATTAAACGCTTTATTGAATAGAATGGTAACCAAGCTGAAGCGATAAGATGTAAAACGGGTGATAATCGTATAGGTGGAGCAACTGCAAGCCAACATGTGCCAACATAGATAAACCACGACCAAAGTGATGCTTTTAAATTACTACTAAAAAAATGCCCAACAAGTATAGCTCGTGACAGAACTTGAATAGACCATAAAATAATCGTTGGTATAATTAACCAAATTGATACATACGGTAAATAAATACCTCCATCAAAAGAAAGTTTTAATATTAAAATTAATGATATATTTGGAATTAATTGTATTATAAAAATTCTTAGAAACCAGGCAAAACTATTTAATATAGGACGAACTGAAATAAGACGAAGAAGTTCAGTGATTCCTTGATGTTTTTCATCGATTAAAGAATGAAAAAGTAAATTGAAACTGTATAAAATACATCCATCAATAAAGATAAAAATTGTGATTAATGTAAAAGCAGGTGCCATCTGAAACAACGGATCGGATACATACGATGAACACGGCCATGAATAAATCGATAATGACTTCTTTTTTATTGTTGGTGGTGGATTTAACAGTGATGCAGTTGCCAGATAAGCTCTTAATAAATTACTTGCTGCTGCTATATTTGTACTTGAACATAAAGATAATGATGGATGTTGAACTGTGATGGGAGTTTGTTCATTTTTTAATACACTATTATTATGACACCAATCGCGATTATCATACCGACATCGATAACTAATTATAGAGCCATTCACAGTATTATTGAGTATAATATTTCCATTGTGTCGTTTAGATTTTTCTGTTAAATCAAAACTACTTCGTGGACATTGACGTTTAAAAGGACTAAGTAAGTTTTTGCTAACTATCTCTATAGTAATATCCGATGGTGGACATTCGTACATTGATGTATAATTGAATACACGCATAGATTCCTCTTGTGGAATAGTAGAAGCTGAGTTCAGTTCAATATATGAAGGTCTGATTTGACCCAATGGCACAGCTTCATCAAGAGGCTTAGATTTTGTATGTATCCATCGTATGAGAATTAAAAACAGAATACATATTAAAGGAAGAAGTAGTTCAAATATTATTTTAGGGCAACATCGACATGAACGACAACGCCATGCATAACGAAGAGATTTTTGAATTAATAACCACAGATGATATAGTAACATTTTTTGTTTTGATTTTTATCAGATCAATAAATAATACTGTTACTTACATTTTCTGTTTCCTTCCGTTCAATTGATGAATGAACACTGCAATATAATATTATAAATGAAGATGTCGTGTCTGAACTGTCTGAACATGTCGAAAGAAAGAAACAACGAATGAATGTAAATGCGACTGTGATGGCAGCACACACCAGTACAGTTTGAGATAGATTATTGCGATAGATTCCTCATTGATAGATATAAGAACATAAAATAGAGTAGCAAAATTATTCTTCGTTATTGAGTTTCAATGTAATAATAATATCTAAATTTGTACTACGATATTTGAAAACTACCATAGATTTACCGAAACAAAAATTTCCCCACAAACGAAATGTTGTTATGTTGTGCTCGATACACTGACCTTTGAATAGTTCTTATCTACGGTCATCTAAAAAAAAGCGATATATAACTGTCATCGTTCATTGCTTCTATATAAACTGTATACATCTCTCGATTAAATCTTTTTGTTTTTTACAAAGTTAAGTTAATCAATCAATTCGATATGTAATTGAATCATTGAGAGTACGGATTTCTACTTTAATATAAATGTTCGAATGATCATCATTTCACAACTTCATTATTTATAAAATAACGATCAGATACAATGTAATCAAGAGTAGACTATTTTACATCAATCGGACATTCGTGTAATTCAATCTTTGTTGTATATATAATCTTTTTGCTATAGGTTAAACACGTAGAGATGATATTTCTTTTGTGAACAAATCGAATATATTGTGATGAAAAAATAAATAAATCGATGTCATCGTCATCTTTCATGAAATTTGATCACTAATCTTCAACAGTGATTGAAATTATTTGACAATCATCTTATGTTTAAAATATTTTTTCAAACGCTTTAGTAGAAGATTAAAAATCTGATAGAACTTGTTTCCCTAATCGACTTTTCCCCGACGACTCCCCGGGGAGTCCCGGTAAAATAACAAAATTTCTGGGATTCTTCTAGGGAGAGTTGACTAGGGTTACCTGAAATACACTTTCAATTGTATTTAAATTGTAAAAAAACGAATAGCCAGTGAAAAGCTAAGTGAAATGTTGGACCATCGCTGAGGAACCAAAAGTTCGGTTCAAGATTAGAAGAAGACATGTCCACGAGGGAGTGTTCTCTACTTCAAGGCGAACTACCCGTGAAGGAAACTTTTACGTTGAAACATTGCGTAAAATAAATTTAGTGATGCCAAAGTCAGGTAGTCTGGATATCATAATAAAACATGCTTCTTAACATATGTTCTCATATAGATAAGTATATCACCATGTATATTGGATTTTGAATGTCAGGAATATATCCGTCAAAGTCATCGCCTATTAAGAGACCTTCTGAAGAGGTTCTAACCTTTACATAGAAATATCAATGAATGCAAAGCAAACAGAAATTTTCTTTTTTTCATTTGAATTTCTATCCATATCTTTTTAAATAGATATCATACGAATGCAATTGTTAAATATATAGTATGATAATTATTTCTACTACATTCTATTTGTATTATGTATGATTTCTATGCTCGCTCGGTTTGTTTTTACATAAATAAAAGAAAAATTATATTAGAAATTTTTTTGACAAATCAGAAATGTCCTTTGATATCGTCACAAGTATGTGATTCTTGATGATGATGATGATGATGAGTATTATGATATGTTTGCAAACCAAGACGTTCAAATAGTCTTTGTTTCATAGCAAATAAATCATCTTGCATCAATTTAAAACACATAGCCGTAAGAACAAGCCCAAATAGAAGATAGAGAGCACATAGAATCGATTTTCCATTCTTATTTTCTGTTAATGTTCCTTTGCCAGGTACCAAATCGCCAAGACCTATAGTAGTAAATGTAATAAACGAAAAATAAGCACCATCAACATAAGACCATCCTTCCCAATGAGAAAATAAAACAGCACCGGCTACAATATATAAAGCGAGTACACCCAATGTTGCTGCAATCGGTACATGTTGTACAGTTTCATCGTCGATCTAAGAAGAAAATTATTTATTGTTGTTCTCAATTAAAATGTTCTATTATGCACACTTCAAAAGATAATTTTGATCGTTGTCGTCGTTTTTGTCTACGTCGTTTGATCATTCGTTGAGAAAAATTAATTGTCAATGAGTAATATTTGATAAAGAAAAAAGCAAGTAGATCACCCGTATTTGTTAAACACATAATCATAATCGGAATTCCGAACATAGCATAAATACATGTCGTAACTTTGCCTAATATTGATTTTGGTGCTATATTTCCATATCCAACTGTAGTTATCACCGTTGCTGAATAGAGCATTGCCGTTGAAAATGTCCATTTTTGATTATAGGATACGTCTGTTCTCGTATCATGTTTATCAGTGAGTTTTTCTTGTTCAGCTTGCATTCTCGCTAATTCTTCATCAACTAATTTATCAAATCTTTCATTATTAACTTGTACACGCCAACCAGTATTATCATAACCATCTTGACGTGACATCATTCCACGCCAAAGTGCATAACGTAATTCAAATGAGGCATTTAACATCCAATTAAATTCATCGGTAGCTATATGACGAATATTTCGAATTCCACGTGTATGTTCACGTTTGATTTGTTCATTTTTATGAGATTCATATTTCGATTCAATAGTATAGAAGATAAGACCACCGAGAGCAACATAAGCAAAAACAAGAATCGACAAGCCAACTTGAGAAAATAAAAATTGAGAAAAAACATGACAAAAATCACGTCGAAATCGTTTCCAAGAGCAACAATTAAAGCAATAATTCCAAATAATATTATGCTCATGAGTTGTAGTAGACGGAAGATGAACAGACGAAGGTGATCGAGCTAATACATGATATGGAATATCACCATGTTCATCAAAAGAGACTAATGGCGCACGACACGATTGATTTGATACTATTGGTACATGAGATACTTCGATCGAAACTCGTTTAAACTAAACATAAATCAAAGGTTCTTTTTAATAGAAAACAAAAACACTTCATTGCCAATGGTAAGAAATCTCACAGATGTTGAAGTTGTTGTACTATAGCTACTGTGATGGCTACGTGCTGCATAATTCATTGTCTATATCTCACTATAATATGGCATGTTAATGCGATGAAAAATATTTTTTTGTGCCTCTTTCTTTTCCTCTGTTTATCAATTGTGCTAATTTTTCCTGCGGTAAGTATCAATCAATCGAAAAAATGTGATTTTATCGCTACCTGTTTGTCGTCAGCATCATTATCATCGATACTGATCGCAGTATGGTCGATAGCTACTTTCCACATAATTGTTTGCACACTTATTCAAGTATGTTACACGTATAAATGATCGGCAGACAAATGTATTGACACGTTCAATTGTCGTTTCTTTTTTTCCTCAACGTTTTCCGAAAAATGACTAGTAACGGCGACAAACATTATGTTTGCCCTTCCGGCCATACTATATGCTATGATTTTCTTACGTCAACGATGGCCGTGTATGCAGAATTGTTAGTTCTTCGGATCGTTATGGCTCATATAACAGTAAACAAACATAGTCAATAACACCTGTTGCTTTGCTTCAATAATTCTTCAATTTTCTTCTTCATGAGATAAAATTTTTGGTGTCAAAAAGAAAAAGAAATTTTTCATTTCATTTAAACAAAAAAATGATTCATAGAAAGAAAAACCGAAAATATTAATGGCGACTAAAATGAACAATATTATTTATCTCGGCAATTTGTTTTTCTTTCTCTTATGTCAGATAAAGTTAATGTGGTGCTTTCTCTGCATGACTGGGCATAGATACTAGCAAATGATTGAAGATGAACGATAATAGATTTGACAATATTCATAAGTGTTTGTGAGTATCTTAACAGTTTACCGACTGTAAATGTTTGTATTCACTCGGTAGGAATTTTACAATCGGTTTCCGATACGAGGGATTCATTGTTTTTGGAAGAAATTTTTTATCGACTGTTTTTAATCAATATTCTGTTTTCTATTGTTCGATAACGTTACTGATATATTGACTCTACTTTTGTTGAGTCTACCTGTTAATTTATAATGATTGTTCTTTTGATTGTTGACATAGAAAATGTTATGGGAAAAAGTTTTTCTTTTATCGATTCATCGTATCGTAGATAAAAAGCATTTTTAAATAGGAAATCAAATATTTCGTACATGTGGCGCATTAAAAAAGAAAAGAAAGAAGCATTTATATAGAATCATTCGGTGCATGCGTGATACGTCGATATAAAAGACGCTGATATAAATTTATTTATCACCAGAAGTATCAGTGACGTCAAGATCAGCTTTTCTTATACAAGTTGCATCTGTTCCAGGGTTACCAAATTCAAATTTTAGAAAACAGGAGTTTTTCAGAAGAAATTTGCTCGTAAATCAGGAGAAAAATCAGGAGTGATTTTTTGACACTCAACAGTCATCGGGTGGTTTTTATCTGACAACATCCGATTTTTCACTAATAGACACGTTAAACTCTTTTCCTATAATGAGATTGAGGCTGAAAATTTCCTTGTAGATGAATTATAATTGAAAATAGAATGCGGACTTCATAAATTTTATTTAAATAGATAACTAAAACGTGCTCATGAGAATAAATAGTAAAAAATACTTAACCAGTTTACTCAGCAATTCATAGCAGTTTGGTGACGTGACTCTACTTATCTACCGATTGAATATTTCTTCGAAAGATCTGGTTCATTGAAAAGATAATGATAAAATTGTACGAAAGTGAAATGGGCAGTGTTGCCAGATTCGCACATTTTGCGGAAAAATTCGGGATTTCTGAAGTTTTTCCGAATTTACAAAGCTTTTCTCGATTTTTTCTAAATTTTGAAAAATAACTCTGGATTTTTTTGGATTTTCGAGGTTCACATCGGGTAACATTGTTGTATGAGCACTTCTTTTATTTAAATATATGTTGTAGATATGTATAAAGAGTGTCTTTGTTCGGAATCCGCTAGAGTGAAACGTACTTTAAATGACAAAAACTGACCCGAAAAATCTTTCCGGATTTTTCCGCATTTAAAAAACCCACAATTTTTTTGTATTTTCAAGTTCGACATCTAACAACACTGCAAATGAGTGTTTATTTTAATCTTTAACTCAGCTCGAACTAAATCATGGTTCATTTGATTTCGATTGTCATTCTATATAAAAGTTTAACATTTAAATAGATTTGTTCCTTTCTCTTTAAAAACGCAATAGGTTCAAAACGTTGCTAATCGTCACATTAAAAAAATCAGGAGAAAATATTAAAAAGCAGCTCCTGAAATCAGGAGATTTCTTGTCAGGAGAAAAGTTTCAAAACCAGGAGATCCCTGGTCAAAACAGGAGCTTTGGTAATCCTGATCTGTTCCTGGCAATCAAGTTGGTCAACGACAGTTTGAACAGAGTCGCTATTTACATGAGTTGCTTGTGAATGCACTGATTGATCTAGACGAAGAAAAATGTCGTAAAGAACAAATAAAAATATTGTCCAAATTAGTTCCACAACATAAAATTGTTCTTCGATCACGATTTTCACAAACAGCTCAATGGGGTCTAGAACCAAATATGTTTATTGAAGTAAATAGAATTTTATTCACTACGAAGACAGATATTTCAAAAGTGAAATAATAATTTTCAAAGAAAAACCAGACTACAGTCATTTTTGTTTCGAGTAGTTTCCTGTTTTTCACTATTGCAGTAGATTTTTATACGTAATGGCCGTTGATATAAATTGATAAAGTCTGTAGGTGAGAGGATGAGTGCGAAAATGTGACTTATACATACATCCTGTTGTTTCAGAAGAAAAAGCAGCCGGTGTAAATTCTAGAATATTGTCTTGCATATACCAATCGTATTGTTTTACATGAACATGTTTTTTTTTTGTGTAGTTGATAACAGTTTTGCATATTGTAATCTCTTAGATTAGGCTGTAGATGAAACTTCATATAATAGGATTAACACTTGTGGCTTCCCTATATGTTATAGTTCCTCTCTGATATTTGTTGTTGTAGATTAATTTTGTAGGTTTTTCTTCAAAAACTAAGAAGCATGCTTAAAATCATGTTAATCAGAAATCATTTAAATAAACTCTTCGTGCCCAAAATTGAATAGGATTACATGTTTATTTATTTTTACTATTTCAAAGGTTTACGGTGATGAACATCAGGCACGTATAATAAGTGCACTTTTTGGTAAAGCATTTTGTCAAGATGGTATCGGCATTGGCTGTGGAGAAGGCGAAGGAGAAAATCATTCTGTCCTAATTGTTAATAAAGATTGGAATAACGATCAGGAACGAATAAATCTTGTTTCGAAAATTCTTTACTATTACTCGTTACTGTCCGCACAACTTGATATTAATGGAGAACTAGCATTTCATGATTATTCCATGTCATCATATTCATCTAATGATATTATTCAATTAATTAATAGTGAAAATAATAATAATGAACAATTTTTTATTGAAGAAAGACAAGTGAAAAGTAAACGTGTTGATCAAACCGAATATGAAAATTTATTAATGCTTCTCGAGTCATCGAATATGCGTCATATATTTAATAGATTAAGACACGCACATGTTCGTCTTTTCTCCGGATATGCATGTGCTTCACTGGCGCTACCATCCGTATCAATAAAACGACGATAAAAACGGCGTGAACAAAAGTAAGATATACATGACAAAAATAATCTTCTCTCAATTTCGCCTCCTCATTTATGTTCAGTAATTTTTGCCTGCAGTCGGCCGTGTATGTGTCTTACAGATAGCAATTGCTTTTGTCACTATACATTCACCTTCACTTTACATATTCCTTCGTCAGTTCGTACTTGATTTACATTTGTTTTTTCGTTTTTTTGCTTCTTTCTTTCCCCGTGAATATTTGTCAGTGAAACGAAGCGTTACAAAATAAAAATGCGACTGACGAATATGCATTTGATGATCATAGCTATATGTGTTATAATAAATTTTATCATTCCTACAGCTCAACTTTCAATTGGATTTGGTTTTATTGTTGGCGACGGACAGAATCCTAATGCTCAATGTGCATCAGCACCTGATTTACCATTACTCATGGCATTCGGTGGTATATTCACATTGTTTTTCTTAGGTATAGCGTATGGTTTTATTATAATAATTTCTGCGCCAAGTAAACCTGGAAGTGATGTGGCTGGTAAAATGCCTAAGGTTCTCGTTGGTATGCGAATCTTTTAAATCAAAAAATCAAAAAATTAATTTTGAATATTTATTAAGGTCTTTATAGTTGTTTCTTTGGAGCGATTGCATTTATCATCTTTATTCTCACACAAATTCGGGTTTATGGAGCGTATTCATATGGTTTTCAAACTGGAATTGCAAATAGAAATGATTTTTGTAAGGCAATACTGATGCATGGCTCTTTAGCTATCATTATTCTTACGTATCTTAATATGTTTGTTTTTACCGGCGTACTTTTATTCTTTTCAATACGAAGAGCAACGTAGAAGAACACTAAGAATTCGATGGTCGAATTATGACGGATTATATAAATTATAGACTGAAAGATATGATGAATTTTCTGTAATAAAAGGTTTTCTTAATTGAATAGACTAACAATTGTATGAGTTTCTAATTAATCAAAAAGCAGCCATTTCAAACTTAAATCATGTTCAATTTGCGAAAGCAATCAATACTTAGAAGGTCTCGAAAGAGCCATTCGATGCATTTCACCTACTTATAACCAATCTTCATATTTTATAGATTACATTAATAGATTTATGCAATTCTTAGATACTTATATTAGTGAATAACGGATTTAATAGATTTACCAATCAAAATTTCAATACAATTCTTTTTCAATCCAAATTGAAATCCGCTTGACCAAAATATAAATTCGAAAGAATAACATGTACTTTGATGTTATCAATGCGGCTGATGGGTGATTCAAGAAAATATATCTTTATACGATAGAAAAATAACAAGCGTTGAAAAAATGAAAAATGATTATTATCAGAAGTTTTAAAACGTTGTCTTTTTTTTTTACTAACAATAGAGAGACTCAGTATTTTCCAGTATGAATTCAAGTCTTGGAAAACTCAGAAATCGAATATGTCGTAGATAATTTATTTTTAAATCGAAGCCATATGAGAACACCTCCAATAATAGCCAATACACCTTCTAAACATAGTATAACTATAAGAGCAATGGTACCCGAACAAAGTTTCGGTTTTTTATCCGATGGCTGTTGTGAACGAGTTTTTGCTAACCGATTAAGAAGCGCACCAAGTCGACGACCACCATCAACAAGACGTTGTTCAACGATTGGTATATTTCTTTGATAATAAATTTCTCCTAAAGTAAAATTAGTTGAAGCATTCATGGTGACATTGTTTTCATCGAAATAGATTTGTGAACAAATTAAATTTATATTTTGTTCATTCAATTGTTCCAAATTATCGTCAATCTGTGATGTTTGATTAATCATTAATTGATAAATATAATCGTAATAAAGAGAAGTATTCTGTTGAAAATCTTTTTCTAAGCGTACCTCTATTAAACCTACATCCCAGAGAAAATGGAGATTCGTTCGAGACGTTTCATTCATAAAAGTTCCTAAATAGAATGAATTCATTTCAATTAATTTTTTTCGTTTCTGATTACTTTACCTACAACACTGTTGCCTCCACGATCACCTCGAAATCCTGTATGTAAAGGTTGATGGATATCACCCAAAAAATGAATAAGAAAATACAATGCTTCTTCTTGTTGTATATGATCATGTTCAGTTACTAATCGTTTCGTGTAGTTTTTTATGGCACCAAGGATACATTGATCATTAATACAATCTCGTTCTGGTTGATAGTCACAACTCAAATCAGGAATATTCACGTAGTGTAATATTCGAGACCATTGCCAATTAGCATAACCAGTAGGATTATTATTTTCACTGAGTATAGAATCAGCCCATGAAGACATGGCACTTAAATTTCCATTCCAGTGCCAAGGAGTCAGTGATCGAATCCATTCTGGTGCTGAATCAACCAGTTGACTTTGAGCAAGACGTACAGTTATACTGTGACCAACACGTCCCCAACCATTTACATGTGGATAAGTGTCACAAAAAAGCGCCAACAATAACCAATGTGTTAAGAACATCGCATTTACTCTTATTTTCTCTATCAAAAGAAGTAAAGAATAATAATATTGATACAAAAGAGTATCGAAATACTAGAATAAGATTATAGGGAAAAGGACTAAAGGTGTGTGTTGTATTTCATTTTAACATTTTGTTAGAAGAATAATACATTCATATTTATCTTCAACTCAATACGCATCTTTATGATCAAGAAAAAGGATTATTGGGTATCTCTCAACGACATATATGAAAAGAAAAAAAAAACAGAATAGAATAAAGCATATAAAATAATAATAATAATAAATTTGCAACTTTGTGTTCCCTTCGAATGGATTAGTTTTTAACTGAGACTCATTTAGACATCTATAGGAAATATTAATTGTAAATCGAAATATAGCTTTTTTTGCCAACTAACAATTCGAACCGACAGGAAATCATTCGTTGACGCACATCTACACACTACAATTTTATACCTCTGTTTTTAGAAAAAAACAATTATAGCATCGACATCAATAATGATAGGCTATAATATATTGAGATTTTACGATTAATATATGATCCACATAAAAAGCGTAAAATAATTACATGATAACCGTGAGAAATAGTTGGCATCGGTGTGTCTGGGCTTATCGCATTGTATAATGTGTCCATATAACAGATTTAGTTGCCACTTAAATCAATAGTAAGCTTCAATATATTACAGAAAAATAGCAAAGCAAATCAAAAAATAGAGTACCGATGAAAAAAAATTGCTTAAGAGCCAGGTATGAACAAAATAGATCAACTATTCAAAGATTCGATTTATTGGATTCGGGATATTTTTAGCATCAGATCAAAGAAAACGTACATTTATGAATTGCAAAGTTCGGCTCTCAAGAAGATACGCCAACAAATTATGTTGTACGCAAATAATTACTATTTATGTTAGTGCAACTACGCACACGGATCCGGAGCTGTGCCTTGATTGCGCTATCTTTTTAATAAGTTGCACATCACGAAGCAGATGTCAACCTCAATAAAGAATTTTATCCTTGTTTATGACCTTTTCAGAACACCGATTCTGATTTTGAATTCAATGCATATTTCAATGACACTCCGGCAATCATTCATAGACATGGAGAATTGATTAGTCTGAAAAAGTAGAATTATGATAATCTTCAACATAATTTAGAAATCATTTAAAATATTTACTATTGACAAAATATCTCCCTCAGTAAATTCAAGCGGTCGTTTCGTCCAAAGCATGATGATGATTTTATTTATAAAGAAAATTTTCTTTTACATGAAAAAGCTTAGTCCGCTATTTTGATATTCTGTTACAAACATTCGATCACATGCACACGTCTTTTTACATGTTTTACTAATATTTTTTCAAATAAGTGCTAAGCGCTTATTCACATTTCTTTCTTATAAAATAGTTACATGAATATTCATGCCCATATCGTTCGTTGACAAAAATAATTAATGGTCTTTCTCTTTCTTGCTATTCTTTAAAAAACAAATTTTTCTTTTTGTTGCTGCATACTCGCACAACAAACACACGTGTTTTTCGTTCCTGCAAGGCCATTGTCGACTTCTGAAGAAAGTAAAAACATAAACGCATAAAGAGTAAATACACTCGCCTATTTATTTTTCTTTTTAATATTTTAGAAAACAAAGTATGCTCGAAGTCCGTTTATCCGGTGAAACGCTTTCCGTCCCATCAGATGCACTACCTACATCAGAGAGCAATCAAGAGATTCATGTTATTTTAAGTTCGAATGGTATCTTGAAAATTGCTCCATCACTATGGACTGCAATATTTACTGATACTCGTCTGCGTTGCTTATCATTAATTGATCTTCAATTGTACGGCAATGATTCTCAAACATTAGCTAAATATTTATGTGAACAAACTCATTTAGTTGAATTAACTTTTGATTCAGTTTTACAATCGGTTTATTCATTTGATCATATTCTTAACGAAGGCTTACAGCATAATAAAAGTTTAAAAAGTCTAACATTGACTAATTTAAATAATCTTGATGCGGCAACAATTGCTAGTCTTATAAAACATAATAATACTATAAACTATTTAGCACTTACACATGATAATATTTCATCGGGCGGAGGTGCAATTATTGCTGATGCACTTCGAACAAATTCTACATTGGTGAGAGTTGATTTAAGTCATAATCGTATTGATGAACAAACAGCAACTCAATTTACTAGCATTCTTCATCAACCGCATTCAAGTCTCAAACAAATTATTTTGAATAATAATGTTAATGACAATCAATATGTACTTGATCCAAATTCAACAATAGAAAATAAACCTGAAACTCTACCTTTTATAGTCGAAGAGAAACGAATAAATGACGTTGAACCGTCAACGCCGACAAAAAAATTTCAATTTCTATCAACCATTCTTGTTACATTTCTCTTTTTTCTTTGGGGTATACCTAATCAATTGAATGGTGTACTTATTCGTCAATTTTCAAAAGCTTTTGATCTGTCTCGTTTTGAAGCCGGCCTTGTTCAATCAGCTTTCTATATGGGCTATTTTATTTGGGCTTTACCAGCAGCGTATATTCTTCGTCGTTGGGGTTATAAAGTTGGTCTTATTCTTGGCTTAGTTCTCTTCGGTACGGGGTCATTTCTTTTCTGGCCATGTGCATACATCGGACAATATCTGCCATTTTTAATTTCTCTCTTCATCATTGCCACGGGTTTGGCTTTTCTTGAAACTGCAGCTAATCCATTTATAGCACATGCAGTCGGACCCGAACATTCATCTGAAAAACGCCTTAATATTGCACAAGCATTTAATCCATTAGGCGCTATAGTAGGTGTACTGATTGGAACATTCTTTATATTTTCCGGTGTTGAACTAAGTCCTGAACAAATCAAAGGAATGCGTGCTGATAGAACGTATGAAACGTATTTAAAAGAAGAAACATTACGTGTTGTTCGACCCTATGCAATTATTGGCGGTGTTACATATTTATGGGCTGTACTTATTGCTATTGTACCATTTCCAGCAAAGACAAAAGGAAAACAAAAAAATGATGAATCCGGTAGAGCGAATGAACTTTGTCGAATTCTTTTTCTACTCTCTATTGTTGCACAATTTGCTTATGTTGGTGCGCAAGTTGGTACATGGTCATATTTCATACAATATGCTCAAGATTATGTTCAAGTTGGAGAGAAAACAGGTGGTTATCTATTAACTGGTACATTAGCTATGTTTGCTCTTGGTCGTCTTACTGCTGCTTTACTTATGCATTGTGGATTTTCACCAGCAATTCTTTTAGCCACATTTTCTCTTATTAACGTGTTACTTATCGCTATCACTGTTCTTCTACCGAATGCTATTGGACTTGGAGCACTTTTTTTAACATCATACTTCATGTCACTGATGTTTCCGACAATATTTTCATTAGGTATTAAAGGTATGAGTGAACAGACAACGAAACTCGCCAGTTGTCTTCTTATTATGGCAATCATTGGTGGAGCTATCTTTACTCCATTGATGGGTTACATTGCAGTAGAAACTAAAAGTTTGGCGTTGGCCTATATATTACCAGGTGGATCCTATATTATTGTTGGTATCTATGCACTTTTGGCTTATGTATTGACCACGGATAGAAGTACACAGGCATAAACAACTATCTATTTACTGTTGCTTAAATTGTTCCAATACAAAAAAGATAAGAACTCTCGATGTAGATTTGAGTAACTGTGTAATTAATATTAAGGCAAACATTTGTAGTAAATGTTTTTGGTGTATGTAATCGTTTTTATCTAATTTGGATTCATTTTTATAGGTTCGATTTCAGTCGTCCGTTTTCGTTTTTGACAACAAAGTTTATTATCATAAACATTTGATATCTTTGATTTAATTATAGACAATAGCATTAACTGCTTGGTAAATATATACATTCATTATATTTGTGAGACCTATTCCTTATTCTTTCGGTTACACACGAAAACAATCAAGAGTTTTTGAATCGATTATAATATTCGGAATAAATCTTATTGATGATTTGAATGCCTAATAAAAACAACGAAATTTAAGCATAATTCACATCTCTATATTGTCATTCATAAATCAACAATGAAATTCTCTAGATAAATATATGACTCACAACTTGTGACAACATTTTCTATGTGTTTTAACTAGTAAACAATTGCTGAAATCTTTCAATTCATGTCGTTTAAAAAATATCAGGCTAAATCTCATATGAACTAAATTTTTTCTGTTAAGTTTAAAATAATAGAAAGCACAAAACGATTTAGATTTAATTCAGCTCAATTATTCTGAATTGTAGCACAAGCTTATGGTCGATAAAGCCTGTGTTAAAATAATATTTTTTCCTGAAATTAAAAATCTTCAATATTCAAACAGCTCGCAAACTAAATTCCTGTCCGAAAGAATCAATCAATCAATCAATCAAAAGAGATTTCGATTACTATTATAAAATAACGATTTTTAGTGGTCATCTTTGACCAATACTAATGATAACATTAAAGTGACATCTGTATTCAATTTTATACTCACAAATAATTTTCAATTGGATTCTTATTGATAGATATGTTCGCCCTTGTCATATATGCATGCGTGAGTGATTGATATTTTTCTGATCGGTACAATATCAGAAGTAAGTTTCAATTAAAGTTTGTATCAACTAATAAATTTCATATGATAGAATTATTTTATTTATGTTGTAGGTGAATTCTCTCGTTTGATTCAATTCTTAATATTTAAAATATGTCTGCAATTTTTATTATGATTTCGATGAATTTAATAAAAAAAACAATTTCCATTCAATGCTAAAGATTACATTGTACGAGGATATTAATTTGAAGATTTTGTGCGTAAACGATATGAAGAATCTATGTAAAGATAACACACAAGCTATGATTTCACTTAGTGTTATAAAAAAAGATTTTGTCTTCACAAGTTAGTAAGATGATTGACTGCTGACAGATGAAGAAAACGCGGAATATTGGTGAGTAAAAAACATCGGTTATAGAAATAAATAAATTTTTTATATGTTGTGCCTTAAAAAGATGCCATAATTCTTATAGAAATGTAAATCTTATCCACTTGAGTCTAAATTCATAAAATATTTATTCGAGTTTTTCTAATCATGAATAATATATATATATATATAATCATGTTGTTTTGTTCACATAGATAAATAATTTAGTAACTTTAATTATTCATGTTCACTTATTAAAAGAATGAATTCGATAAATGATATGTATGTAGATAAGAAGAGTACGACATTTTTTTGTTCTTACACCGATTGTGTAATGATTTTTCTTATGTGTTAGATTCAATAAATTCCTATCAGGAAATTTCATGTGAAAAAAAATCAAGTACTTATTCGAACAGATGTTCAAGATAAGGAGCGTCAGTTGAAATTTTAATCAATCGTTTTGTATACTCGGGTAACTCATACGCGATATGTTTTAGTTCTATCTAAATTTTCAATGTACATTTAGTTCAATACAATAGTTATCACACTTCAGTTTTATTTTTAAATTTAATAAAGAAAACGGTGCTTCTTATTTTAAAAAGTCGCGGTGCTTGTGTTCATAGTCACTCGTTTTTTTTTCTTCCTTTCGGTAGGATGTTTTTTTATGTCTAGACTTTTTTCTTTTCTCTTTATTAACGGAAGCATATAGTCTATCATCGGTCATTACATTTTTTCCTGGTAGAAACATCGCTATGATCGCCTTTTTCCTTGTACGAATGAGCCGAGTGGGTTTTTTTTTCATAATTTTTTAAACATACAAGATTCGTCTTAGAAAATCTACTTATTTCACTCAATCATGTATGTGAGAAATCCAGAGAAGTTGCACATCAATGAAAATGATCTAAGACATAGTCTATTGAAATGATACGTTCTCTACGGATGAATCGTAACTATGAAGTTTTTTAGGTTCTTTGGCTGCAACATAGACTATTCATAGTTCGATCCAATAAAGATGGATATGGCGAATGTGATTATAAGCGCAATCAATTCAGCGCCCCATTTACCATGAAAAATAAATTTTCTAGGTTAGAGTTGTACTGACATTGATTACAATGAAGTCTACATAGAATAAAGGTTATATAGATTGGATAACTTGCATGTTCGTATAACTAGCTTTGCGGAAAATAATTTCTGAAAGATAATAAAAGAATTATCGCATACAGCGTTAGTTATTATTTTTTTTATTTTAGGAGGATTTCAATGGATTCTTTGTCAAAAAGGTACTTTTAGTTTTTCTGCAAAAATGCTTAACTACGTACAACTGATACCTTCATTATCTAACAATGCTTGAACTTACAGCTTTATATATATATAACAAACTATATATTTAAATCTAACTCGTATTCATTAATTTTTTGCATAACAATCTTTTTTGTTCAATTTTCTCATAACATTTTCTAATGACAACAATTTTAGATATGTCATTTGAAGATTTTGCTTCAACATATACACGTTCATTTGGTCAAACACCAATACGTATCATTCGTATGTCATCACCCTTGACAGCTTATTCTGGTTCGAATGATCAACCGTATCGTCATCTTGTACTATTATGTCAACCACATTTTACGTCGAAATCCATTTCAATAGCATTTTATTTAAATGGTACAGCTTATTTTGAATACTTAACTGAAGATAAAATTCGACAACGTTTACAACTATTAAATAATTCACGTAGGACACCATTTCATTGTGACAATTTAGAGTCTATTTTATCACGTTTCAAAACAATGTTATCAACCGACGCAATGAAACAAGATAATAATGAATTACACGCGAAACTTTTATCGGAACGATTATTATCTGTTGAAATATATCAAGACGATTTAAAGTTTAAATTTCGCTGTGATGAGCGTCCACAGTTATTTGAACAACATTATGTTAGACAATTATTAATACAAGTTAACGAATTATCACAACGACAAGCATATCTATGTGAACTGTTAGAACATAAAGATCAATTACCACAATTCGATGCAAAGCTTTTTCTCAATACGCCAACAACACTTGATGACGATGAAGAAGGTAAAGAAACACTAAACAGAACATTTCATTACCGAATAGGATCAATATGCTCTTGAATGTTTATTGAATATCTTGAAGGTGTGGATATGACTCGAAAGAAGATCTTCACATCCCTAGAGAGCTGAAAATTTCAATAGTTCTTTTGGTGTGATGTATTTGTGCTGAGTAAACAAGACGAGTGAAATTCGCAATTTATGTTCAATTCAGTTTTTATTCATATCCATTTCTCTTTTACTATTGTCAGTCAGCTAGTTCTACTTTCATGATGGATTCCCGATGGTTATTTTCGATTTCATCAATTAAAATTTCCTAACCGTAGTTGTTTCAATAGCAAGACAAATTTTATATAAATGCGAGGAATAATTTAGGCTTGAAATTTCAACAAATTCTAACTATTGAAACGAACTAAAAATAAAACAAATCAAAATTTTTATATTTATGTTCAGATTCCGATGAAGATGATGAAATTTTATCGTCGTCAACAACTGGTCGTTTATGGAAAACAGCTTTTGGTCGTCGTGATGGTTCACAATTTCTTGATATATGTCTTCTTAAAAAAGCCTACATTAAAACATTAGAAGAAATGAGCGATGATGATCACGATGAAGCAGAAGAAGAAGAAAAAAAAGATCTTGACACCATTTCATCTATTGTAGATACACTTGTTGATCAAACTGTTGTTCGAATTGATCAACAAAATGATGATGATGAAATCGTTTTAGCAGAACGAATTGGTAAACGTTCATTGACAACATCAACAGTGAATTTCGAAAGTGGTACACAAAAAATAAAACGATTACGAAGCACTACAGCTAGTGCAAATGTTTCTATTTAAATATTGTGTTTTTCTCTTTGTATTAATTCTTGTTTATATGAATTGTAATGGCCAATTAAAGACAAGACTTTTCCTTAAAGTGAAAGTCAGTATTAAACTTAATTGATTTTGTACGATAAATAATAATAATAGATAAAATTCTAACATTCGGTATTGTAAAGAAAATGTGATGCTTTTATTTGCTTGATATCATTATCTCTGTTTTTTTAAGGAGCTTTCAAATATGATATTGACAATAGACAATGCTCTTTTTCTTTGAGATGTATTTAAAATTGACAAAAAAGATTCAAAACTTTTGAAGAAAATCTCCATTCTTAGGTATGATATAAAAATGCAGTGTCATGATGAAAAAAATAATAATCTTTTCAACTGAGACTATCATGAATCATTGAATCTATTTATGAGTAAATTTTGAGAACGAAAATTCAGGGCTTCAATCTCTCCTGAATATTTCATGCTTAGCTGAAAACTGGAATATTACAATCGAAATACTAGATTGTAGACCTACTGTGAGCTCGAACGATGAATGCGAGTGTCAGTAATTCTTTCATATATGTTGTTGACTAATTTAGTGTTATGTTTTACCCAGGGAAAAACGGCGGACTTGAAGTACCTCAAAATACCATTTCAGTAATCGGAAATAAGAACAAGTAGCTTAGGAACTTTGATGTAACTTCAAGTAAAATTGAAGTCGAAAAATTCTTCAAAGTGCGCCACTGAAAGTAGCTCAAAGTTACTTCAAGTTCGCCGTTTCCCCCTCGTGTTTTACTATGAAATATTTTCTGATTTCTTTAAAAGATTCAGACCGACTTTATTGATTTAATTTTTACTTTATTTACGAAGATAAACAACGGTAACACTGAGCTATTTGACATTTAAGAACACATCAGCTCTTCTACACTTCTAAATCATAGAACAGCCGATTGCACGTTATTGATTGGTAATATTAATTTTTTGAGTAGAAAAATTTGATCATCCCCTACTGGATTGGATGACAAGCAATGAATATGCATTCACATTTATCAGTATCAAATATCTAAAATTCCAACAAATTCTAACTAATCGAACATTGAAATTTGAGTATGCTTACAACTTTTCTCACGAATTAGATAGCAAGAAAAGATTAAAACAGGGTTAATGCTCTCTCGCAAAAATGTTTTCAAACAAAAAAAAAAACACATAGTCATTAAAAGAAATGCGTAGAAGTCAAAATAACTCTTTTTACATAGATTCGATTCCTAGAAAAGTCATAAAATTGAATCAGCTCCAAAACTGATTCAACGCACTCTATGAAAAAAAGCACATCACCTAGTTAATATTAGAAGAACTTTTTTACTACTTTAAATGAACTATGCACGATTATTTATTACTATAATAATTAATTTAAAAAACAAACGTGTTCAAAAAACTTAAGATGCAATATTTGAACAATCTATTATGTTATTTAGATTTGAAGTTTTAGCCTTATCAAACAGGAAAATAACGGTTACATGTTATTTCATTGAAAGCAAACGCATGGCCATTGAAATTGTCGATAGTCATCACCATCTGTGGTCATTGTCACCATCAAACCCTACTAAATATTCATGGCTCCGTCCTGTGTCTGAGGGTGGCATAGCCTGGCATGTTGCAGGTGATGTTGAGAGCTTAAAACAGAGTTATTTAATTGATGATTATCTTCGGGATGTAACGAATCCTTCGTGCCAATTAATTAAATCTGTTCATGTCCAAGCTGAAGCTGATGATCCAATCGAAGAAGTTAAATATCTTGAACAAGTTTCTAATGAAAATTCTCATGGATTTCCACATGCTATTGTGGCACATGCTAATTTAGCATCATTGGAATTACCAAAATTACTTGAAACTTACACGCGTGATTACCCACGTGTTAAAGGTATTCGGCAATTACTTAATTGGTCAAATAAAGATTCTCGCTTATCAATGACTGATCGACCTGATTATCTAACCGATAAAAATTGGCTTGAAGGTTTTCAATTACTTACATCACATTCATTATCATTCGATTTTCATGTGTATCCATCGCAAATGATTGATGCGTCGAAAGTAGCTCGACAATATCCAAGTGCAATACTTATTCTTGATCATTGTGGCTTACCTGTTGATGGTAAAAATGATTTTGACAGTTGGAAAGAAGGCATGAAACACATGGCTGAGCAATCGAATGTTATTTGTAAACTAAGTGGATTAGTTATGTTTAATCATGCATGGTCAAAGGAAATTTTAGCGCCCTATATCATTGAGTGTCTTCGTTTATTTACCCCGAAACGTTGTATGTTTGGCTCGAATTTTCCTGTGGATAAATTAAATATAACATATGAAGAACTTGTTAATGTTTATCGAGATATTGCAGAAAATGATGCTGGATTAACAAAAGATGAACTTGAATTAATATTTAAACAAAATGCAATTAAAACGTATCGATTATAGAATGCAATAGCGTAGACTTGGTTTTCTGTAACATTGATTTTGATAGTCCTCACACTTTAATAGTTTCAGTTTACATTCCAAGTATTTTCGATTCCGCTATATTTTATGATTGATTCTCTATTTCTTTCTTATAAAAAAAATAATAATTGATTATAATTTTAAAATTTTACTGCATCTACTTTATTACTACAGCAAAACGAAAACTTTTGTTTGATATTCACGATGTGATAAAACATACTACAAAATCGTTGCCTCATATTGAAATATCCACATTAGAAATATATGGGTGTTTTCATTTGGTGAACTATGAAAATTCGAATGAATTTGAAAATAGAAAGCTGTTTTTATCGGATTCAATTACTGTTGTTTTCTAATTTCTTTGGTTTGGCCTTCTAATTGTCTACTATCTTCTCTCCGAAAATGACTTTTAACAAGAATTCATATGTGTGTTTTATAGAAGAAAATTGTTTGATACAGAAAAACATTTTTACATTAGAATTCGTCGAGTGGATACCGAATACCCGCCCTACTCTGATTAGGTACCAAGCTTACGAATTGCGGGTGCATAAAGCCGTACAGTCTCGAAATAAGAAATATGACTTATACGAACATTCTTTTGAGGCAATTAAGATATAATCCGACCGAATTTTTGAGTAAGTCGCTCTGAACATTCATTTCGGTTTTCTCAACGCCAATAAATATCTGTGCTACATGTTTGTACAATAGAAGAAGTATATACAGCTGAAATTTTGAGAGAATCCTGCCCAATTTTTCAAACAGTACTGGCTTCTAATGATATGAGATAAGAAAATTGAGGAACGAAACTAGAGCTGACTACCTGATAAAATGTTTTTAACTAGATAATATCTCTAGCATTGAGTAAACAAATTAGCTACATGTCTTTTCATATCTAGCATTTTTCTAACTTTCAATAACATTGATAAATCCAATGACTAGCTTGTTTATGATACATATATGTCACCGGCACATACATATTCGTCATCACTGGTCTATTTAACCCTGGGTTAATAAATTGCGTAAATATTTATACATAGTGTCATTAGAAAAAGAAATAATGTACAACAATCCTTGATAAACTTTATCGATATTGGCGTTTTCTCGCTGCTTAACTTCGGCTCATTCATGCATAGCTCACATTATATAATAGACAAAAAAAAAAGGTATCAAATATGTGCCTTGTATAACATTTTGAATGTGTCTTCTAGATATGTGGGACGCTTATGCTAGTTGCTTGGATTATTGATAAAAAAAAAGCACTGACACATAATATCAGCAACTAAATTTTCCGTTTGTAGTTACATACTGCTTTAGAGATGTTTTTTTAACCTTATTACTTTCTACAACGAAATCATTAGTTCATTTCTTTATCACTCATGTAGACCTATCGTATGATTTTGAAATATTAACAATCATTTGTGAATATAAATAAGGTACTCTGACTTTGCGTCTTTTATCTGTTCGATGTTCTGAGAGTATTATACATTAACGTACCCCGCAGTCTGACTCAGAGCTCCGCGTGGGATGGGATGGGATGGGACGTCTGAAATGTCAAACATTTTTAAAATGTCAAATTTGTTTGCTTATCATCGATCGACTGAGGCTACGAATTATAATATTGCTTCATGTCATGTTTCATGATTTTATTAAAATGAAGCTCAGAGTTTGAATTTCTGTTCTCTTTGGCATATTACAATGATGACATCATCCTGGTTATAAATGCAGTATTTTGCAAAATAGAGAAAATAAGTAGTAAATGAGAAAGGAAAGCATTTTATTAAATACAAAAGCAACCGGAAATAAATAAATAAATCAAAGTATAAAGTTTCAGTGTTAAATCATCGTACAAGGTTTCATATTTTTCATGGAACGAATTATTCAAAGACATTTCACCAGTTATAAGCCGTAATAACTAAATCAATTGTTATTGTTACAATAGATCAGATTGCATTTTTTTTCTCTATGCGTAGGTTCATTATTATTTTTTTTGTACATTGAATCGAAAAGGTTGCACTACTTGATCACGTATAGTTTGTATTTCTAACTATGTTTCTCCCACAGTTGGGTAGAACATTTATAATGAAAGGACTACACTGCTTTTAGTAAAAAGAATAGATTCATATAATATTTCTTCGTCCCATGGGACGAATGTGATGGGACTGTCCCATCCCACGTGGAGCTCTGGTGCAAACACCATGCTATTACGTAGATCAATAACCATGGATCCAATATTAGAAGCAGAGAGCGGAATAACAATGTCAACATCATATAAATACGTAAACTTGTAAGTTATTTATTGAGCAATAATTTGCTTTTTAACTCAGGGAGAAATCTCTCACATTTACAAAATTACTGACATTTTGGCAGGAACCAGTAACTGAGTGACAAAGAATCTGAGATCATTCCTATTCAGACATTAGTACAAATACAAAACTAATTATAAAATAGTGATTCTGATGTTTTGGCGAGGGGTGCTGAAGAAATAAACAAATGCATAGCTGCATTGTTTAGTTCAAGTAACGAAACTTTCGTTCAAAGCTCTAAGATAAATTGTTTTATTCGAGAGTATTTTCTCTATCAGATACAGATATTTGCAAAAAATCTGATCTTGATCAGATTGACTTCTTGGATTATTTTCACATAAATCTATGACTAGAAATTCACCTCATATGAACTTGTTTCATCTATTAAATACGTTCCTTTGATTCTACTTCGCTATTACTATCAATGAAGAACTTAAAAAGGACTGTACTTCAAAATTTTCATTAAATAAAAAAATTATTTTGTATGCTTTTCGACATCACAACGTTCTGTTCCTTGAAAAATTTTTATTATACATCATCCAAATTAAAAAAACGTATTTATCTTATTTTGTCATGTTTTCAATCTTGTCAAGTGCTGCGATATTTGCCAATGGACTTCGTCTATAAGGATGCTTTTCATCTGGTAGAGATTTCAGTGCACGTTCAAAATATTCTCGTGCTTTAACAAGATCACCTTTAGTTCGATAGATCGCACCTAAATTATTCAATGCTGCTGCAAAGCGAGCGTCGTCTTTTTCACATTTACTCAAAAGATCAACAGTTCGAGTGGCGTATGACAATGACCGTTCGATATCGCCTTGATCATGCAATATATTACTTATATTACCAATACAAGTCGCAATATCCAATTCATTCTTCGGTTTGACTTCATGTTCACGTATTGCTAATGCCTTTTCCATACAGTCAAGTGCTTCAGGTAATTCTTTAAGACTCCAATGTGCAGTACCAACTCCAGTAAGGCAACGAGCAATCATTGTTGGATCTCGTTTCTCTTCATTTTCAAACCATTTCAGCGCTTGAGAATTAACTTTAAATGATTCTGCACTTTGCTTCATACTTTTGTAGACTACTCCTAGATGAAGCAACGTTTCAGCATGTTCTCGATCGTTAGCTTTCAATAATGCTTGTTGGTGACATCGAAGTGCATCCGATGGATTATATAAATGTTCACGTAATAAACACCCATATTTATTTAGAACACGAACGTTTGGATCAGTTATACGAGCAAAAATATCTGCTGCTTGTGACCATTCACCACGTGCTATATGCTCATCGGCTAACGCTTCATCGTTACTAAAATAAAATATTCAAAAGTCAATCTAATGTCGAAATCTGAAGTAGCAGGAAAAGATGTTTAACTAATCTCAGCGTTTTTGTTTTTAATTTTATAAATGATTGTAAAACACAGCAACAACAGTTACGATTCGTCTCTAAGGTGGTTTACTAAATCTATCACAAGTAAATATAAAGCTCAAGGATCATAGATCATGATGCATGTAACTTTAGGATAGAAGTCTATATATGAGCGTAGTCTTTAATACATATCTGTAGGATTACATTAACAAATATGATTAAAATAAATGAACGTGCTTCATAATTCAATTTTGCTAACCGATTATTGTCAAATAACGAACCTGATATCAGTGCCCATTGTTTGTAGCAAATCATTTACCGTTCTGCCTAATTTTTCTTGCCGTTGAATAAATTCTTGAAATAATTTGTCTCTTTCATTTTTATTGAGTGCACTTAATTTGATAATGGTTAGCAACTGTTGAGTATCATTAGCTCCCGAACTCCTTGTTACACATAGAATTTTAAAAGGTGTTGCCATGTCGATAATAATTGCTTCAGTTGAACTTGCACATAAAGCATCATTCATATCAATTTTAAAAAGAACATTAGCCCAATTACGACGACGTGACGGTCGTGTAGCGTCAACCAAAGCATTTGATCTCGATTGTGTTACACGAAGAAAACATTGAAAAGCAACAATATCTGTTTTTACTCTTTGTTCAAGTTGTTCAATAAGATTCATTGATATTTTAACACCTAAATAAACTTGTTTACAATTAGAGATTGTTGTTGCAGGTTTCATTTGTTTAGTAAGATCATCTATGAAACATCGAGTAAGCGATAATATTTTTTTATTATGTGAACGAAGAGCATTTGAAATAAGAACATGATAAGGAAATGGATAACGTTGTCGGTCAAGCCAAGTAAGAGTTACATTTGGTTTATATGATGATTCGAATTGTTGTATAGATCCTTTTATTTGATTATTGGATGAAAAAATAAGTCCAGCTTGATCTATAAGAGATTTTTTCGTACTTTTAGGATTTTCTGCGTCATTTTTCCATACATTATAGAAATAAAAAGATAAGTTATCACTTGCATCAGGCTGATGATTAAAAAGAAAACTGCCAACATTAATTCGTATTTCTATTGCATCGAGTATTTCAATAAGTGATCCTAATAAATTTTCCAATCTATAATAAACATCAATAACTTTACTTGGGAATGTATCAATATCGATTTCTATTGTTGATGAAATAAGTATGGCTTCAATCGGTGCAAGAGATTCAAACGTCTGTAAAAAATTATCTTCGAGAGTTGTAGTTATTAGAATGACAATTTTATTATCTTTTGCTTGTTGTTCAATGAATGAAATACATGACGATAATTCTTGAAATAATGTAACTGGTTCACTTGTTGCATTACGTATCGATACCGCAAGTTTTTGTTGGTCATCGAAAACTACCAAGCATTTTCCACTTCCATTATCGTTCGATGCCATGAATATAAGAGTTTTTTTTATTCGATGTCTTAAGAAAAATTGTGCAAACAGTCTTATCGACTTACGCAGAGAATTGAATGAAATATATTGTTGTTGCTGTTGTTTCTTTTTCATTCTTTTATGTCGCTCCGATGTGAGTGCCAATCATGCACTCCATGCAGTTGCAGCTCGAATATTCATACACCGCTTTACTTAACAACGCAATAGAATGGAGAACAAATTATTTTTTTCCCTTGAAAAAATAACAAACTAGCAGACACAACTCTCAATGAAGTCACATGAAAGCCATTTGTTTAGATTGACAAGTTCAGAATTTTGAGCAAACGAAATCAGTTGATGTGAAACAAAATGTCATGACTTCATTCGCTATTTCTTTTATGGTCACCTACTAAAGTTCTATTGTCAAATAGAAGAAATATGAAATCAATCGGAATATGATTCATTGGAAATTACAAAAAAAAGTCTTATAAACAAGTGTGAATTACAATGTACAAATGATGTTCCAGTAAAATGACATGTATTTTATATCACTAGCACGTATTATTAATGCGATGCGAAGCAGAAGCATTTATGTAGTCCGTCGCGAGTTTTTTTTTATTTTTTATTTTTTTTATTTTTTTTATTAATGCGATGCGAAGCATAGCATTTCTGTTATGCGTCGCGAGTTTTTTAATGCGGTGCGAAGCACAGCATTTATGTAGTCCGTCGCGAGTTT